CATAAATGTAAAAGAAATAATAGTGCTGCACCCTGTTGGTAATCCTTGTAACTTTAATGCTATTGAACATCATAGAACAGAACCAACTTGTTTAATTGAAACAGCTGTTAAGATTCATTAATTCCATTTCTCATAAGGTTAACATGGGAAACTCCAGAGCCACTGGGGCGGAGCCCTTTTAAGAATTTCGAAACGGGAAATAGTTTACGTCCGATTCGCATACCTACAGAATTTACACACCAAATTTCATAACGATCGGTGAAGTCGTTCCGGAGGAGTTTGCAGACAAACACTGTGACACGAGAATTTTATATATTAGATATAAATATATATATATATGAATTTGAACGGATGGTGTTTTTGGCCTCTAGAGACCTCAAAACGAGAAAAAAAAATCGGTCCCGTGTCCAGGTCTTACCATGAGTACTACGGTAATAGCTTATTCTCTATTTGGGAAATTCGCTAAAAACACCTTTTTACCCTCCCTGTTGCAGCAAACCTAAGTACTCGTTTAACTTTGATGGTTCAAAACTGGACCCAGCTGTTCTTGATCATTGGGCTTAAAAAAATGGTCCTGGCTAATGAAACAGCTGATCTTAGTCAGTAACAAAGCTACACAGATCATCTCACACCATTCTACACTCATATTTGGGTTAAAATACAGGTGGCGTCCCCATATCAATTGATATTAATATTGATATATATTGAACTAATTTTATTTAAATAGGGAATAAATGTGATATTTTTACAGAGACATTTTAGCGTAAATCCAATCAGGCAAGTGGAAATTCGCTTAGTCTGCAGGTTTGCTGTGTCGGGGGTATTTTTAATTATAATTGGCACTTTGTGATACATTAATTGGAGTATATACGAATGTTACTATCGTTTAAGCGATGTAATACAAGTTTACAGCTCAACATTTCAAATTTTGATTACATATTAAAAATTTGAACTCATGTATATTTTCCCCTTAGTAATTATGAAACATAATTTTGCAAACTTCAGTAGCAAAAAGGTTTTCTAAACATATACATCTTATAACGAAACTAATTTATTGCTATATCAACACTGATTGCAAGTCCTCTTCTCGATTTAAAGTGATTCTGATATTTTGATTATACTTTCATTATATTTTGACTCTATTCCAGTGATATGAAACTAGCCTAGGCTGTTTCTGAATAAAGGTACTTTTTGGCATAACCTTTAGAATAGTATAATTTACATATTTGTAATTACTAACAATTAATTATTTCGATAAGTTTAAGGAATTAATCCCCTAAAAGATATTATTATGTTTATTCTTATTTAATAATCTGTTTCTAATTTTCAAATTATTAATTAAATCGGGGCCAAATCTAAAGCAATGCGATTCATTTTTAATACATTTACAAATTATTATATTTTTAACAAATGTGTTGCTTAACAATTACCATAGGGTGTAAGGTAAGTTTACTGATGTTGATAAGTATAACTACCATTTAATGCAACAGAAAAAATGTATACTTTACGCATTATCGTTGGTTATGAATTAAGTATAAAAGAATCATTTTTTTAAAGTCAATCTTTGCTCGCATTATTTAGTTGTCTTAGAAGTTCGTACACATCTAAATCTACTGATTGATATTCCACCCCAGCGTCTGCAATTTTCTTCTGTGGAAAAGCTGTTGTCCAAGCGACAATAATAATGAACGAGCGGCCGACCCTTAAGAACAATGGACTGAGGAGGACGGGCAGCAGGTAGGCTGCCGAGCAGCCCAGCCCTACTAGGGGTAGCGTTTCAGGGGGGGACGATTCCAGGGTGTACATAGGGGATGCCTTGCCGGGGAAGACCTTTCCGTTTCTACTTGTTTGAATTAAAATTAATAACATAATTAGTTCATATAAACTAGATTTTGATAAATTACTTGTCAAGCCCTTGGGGGGAACGATTCCGGTCGCGGACATAGATTTTATACCAGCTGGTTGTCTGGTTTCGTGACGTCACGTTTAGCCTGGGGGGTGATGTTTCCGGGGGCGACCATTCCGGCGACCCTAGATAAGCATTACTTATGTCTAATGTGCAGAAATATCGACCTTTATTCATGTTAGAAAAAATATCTTCAATTCGCGGGATTGGGTATTTGTCGTCACATATAAGTTTGTTTGCCGTCACTTTGTAGTCAGCACAAATTCTTACGTTTCCATTTGCCTTTCTTACTGGAACAATAGGAGTTCCCCATTTTGAATTTTCAACTTTTGATATTATTCCATTACTCTCCAGTCTATTTAGTTCTTCTTCAACTGATTTCTTCAATGCGTAAGGAACTTGTCGAGGTTTGATAAAAATAGGTCTAGCTCCTTCTTTTAACTCTATGTGACCTTGTTCTGATGTAATTTTTCCGATTCCGGGAGTGAAAATTTCTTGAAACTCTGTCAATAGTTTGTCCAATTTTTCTGAACAATCACTTTCAACCACTTTGATATCTGCCCAATCCATTTTTACTTCTCTCAGCCACTCTCTTCCAAATATTGGCTCAACCTTTTGTCTCAGGACATACAACTTTCCGTAGAAATTAAAATCTCTGTATTTACAATCGACAAAACAAACTCCAAGAGGCTTGATGATTTCACCAGTATATGTTTTCATTTCAACAGCGGTTTTGAAAAGACGTTTATTTACATGTAGTGATTGAAAATCGCTGTAAGATAATGAGCTTAACGCTGCTCCTGTATCAAGTTCCATCTTCAGCTTCTTTCCCTCAATGTCCACATCTATTAAAAACTTATCACTTCCAGATGAAGTTGATCCCATTGTATAAACCTCGTGGATCGATGAATGGTTGTCCTCAATATCAATTAAGTTTGATTTCAATTCCTTGTTTTTCCCAGTTCTTACATCAGTTCCACTTCTAGATAAGCAAACCCTTGAAATATGTCCAATCTTATTACATTTCCTACAGAATTCGTTCTTAAATCTGCATAAATTAGCCTTGTGCTGTTCACTGCCACACCTGTAACACTTGCCTCTTAAATCTTCAAATGAAACTATGGGTTTGTTTCCCTTAAATTGACTTTGTTTGTCTTTGTATCCAGATTGTAGGCGGTTAATGTTTGCAGTTTCTTTTAGAATTGTATTTCCATTTCTCCGGTTAATCTCATAACTTTCAGATTTAGATTGTTCTATGGAAATCGCAGTTTGTACCACTTCGTTGTAAGAAATTTTACCATCTTTTTCTTGAAGAAATCTAATTCTAATTTCATTGTCTTTTAACCCCCGTATGAACTGCATTTTTAAGAACATATCACTTACCGTACTTTCACAGTTATAACAATAAAAATCACAGTCCGTTGCTAAACGTTTAAGTTCTCTGGCATATACGGCTATGTTCTCTCCAGGTTCTTGAACCTTGCAAACAAATTTATGTTGGTTAGCTAGTATGCTAGGTGAAGGCTCAAGACAATTTTTCAAAGATTCTGTGAGTTCATTGAAGGTTTTGTCACCTGGTAACTCAGGAGCTAATGTATCACACAATGTTTGGTGCATCTCTGGAGAAAGTGTACTGACAAACAAACATGTCTTGGTCTTTTCATCTGTAATTTTCTTTAACTGAAAATAGTTTTCAAGTCTCATCAAAAAGTTTTTAAATGTCTCGTTCTCTGTGTAAGGTGTAAAGTTAATGTTAGGTACATGGCTATCGTGTGCAACTGATATAGAAGTTGTGTGTTCATCTGTAGATTTGTTCGGTATAAAGAATGGCTGTAACAATGCTCTTATCTCTAAATATACCTCTTCTACATCAGCCCTGTAATCTTCTTCTTGTTCAAAATCATCTTCATCTTCTATTTGTAAAATATCTTCGTGTAGTGAGATGAATTTATGCCAAGCTTCCTCTGCTACATTTAATCTGCCAGGAGCATCATTGACTGATGAACCCTTGCTTTTTAATAGGTGTAGAGTTCTTGTAATCTGGCCTTTTAGTGCTCCTCTTTTATGTTTCAGTCTTCTGATATCATTTCTTTCATCACTCGTCGCCATTTGTTGTGTTTTAAATAAAGAATAGATTTGAATAACTTAATGAACTCATTTTATTAAGATGTAAACAGAAAACAAAACTGTAAAATCAAAACATAAACAATCATATTAAAATAATGATCAGCTGGTATAGCAAGTGTAAAGAAAACCACACTCCCTCAAGATATACAATTTGATTTGGATACATTTCATAATGGTTTTCACATCAATGTTGTTGCTGAAGTTTTTCATTTTCATGAAAATCCAAAACTAGAGAGTGAAAATCCCTATAATAATGAGATGCAGAATATAGCGGTGACATGTTTGAACACAATGGTAATGGTTCACCCGATAGTTGCTTGTCCCAGTATCTCTTCTGTGGATTCCCCTCCCATTCTGGGACAGAATCTAATTCTCACCTTGGTACTTAAAGGAGATTTAGAGGGTTTCCCTTTCAGGATGGGAATGGATCATTTTCTTTTGACCCGTCAGAAGAGAATGGAGGTGCATTGGCTTAGCCTCAGGAAGTTTACGGCGACATTTTAGTCCCCATGGTTAAAACCGTGAGACGTTTGTTGCAAAACTAAGCAGAGTTGATATGCCTCACTTAAAGCATGTTATGCTGGGAATCATTGGCTGCACTATTTAAGACTGTAAGAGGTGACAATGTACAAAGCCCTTGAGGGTCTGTCACATTCAGGGAAGTTTTACAGGAATTGTTTAGCTCTGAAGCGTTCCATCATAGTGGGCGAACCAAGTGGGGTTTTCTGGCATTATTGACTCTTGCCAATGAGAATTATTTCTCTATAATTTCTCTGCAGAGACAATGTGTTATCTTTACATCTAACTAATCTGTGTAAAAATGAAAAAAGTCCATGTATTTTTGAACCCGAAATTAAATTCAAAATTTGCTAAAAAATATCTAGTCCACTTATTTAACAAGCCTTCATAGGCATACACAACAGGTGTAGAATGTGTTCTTCTCCAAACTGTCGAAGGTTATACTCACTGAGTCAGTCTCTCCAGAGCCGTCTGCTGGTCAGGACAGTGGGCAAGGTTGAGTGTTTGCAGTCTACACGGGTCTCCTCTTGCTAGCCAGTTCGCTACTTCGCCTACCACCCTTTCTCCCGTGTGAGCCAAATGTAGCTCCACTACTCGCTCCACGCTCAGTCCTCCCAGCAATGCTCGCACACCATCGTTCCCCAGTGAGTTTGAACTCGCTTCCAACACCTCAATTCTCTCTGTAACAAATTAGTGATAGTGTTTCAGAGATTAAAAACAGTTGCGTAATTTGTTAATAGCTGAAATTATGTTACTGGCATCCATAAAACAAAATTGTGATGAAAACATAACAAAACAGTCAAATAACACTATAAAGCTTCAACTTACCCATATTGAGTTGATTAGTGCCTGCAAAGCTGCCTGCTGTTAGTCCCACCGATGTGATGGACAGGCCCATGAGACATCTGGTTACTTGGAGTAAACGAGACAGTGGTCCTGTGCATGTCCTACCTAGTCTATTGTGACTCAACTTCAGTACCTTCAGTCTCTGTAAGGTACAAGTAATATTAGTTACCTGGTTCTGTCAATGTTGTACGCTTCAGTATGTTGAGTCAGTAATATTAACATGACTTTTTCTTGGTTTTAAGTTCTCATCACTATTTTAACAAGCTTTACACAAGCTGTAGACGTAGATGAGCTGTACAAATACAAGCTGTACACATACACAATTTTCTATTTACCATAGGAAACAATAAGTATGCACTCAGATCCTTAGATATCTATAAGTAAATTTTGATTTCACTCATGGTCCAATACAGTAAATTAATTATGTATGTATGTACTATGTATTATGTTGTGTACCTGACAAGCCTGGTGTTCTACGACCTGATCCACAAACATGGTGAGTCCATCTCCAGTGATTCCATTGCAACTGACATCTAACTCTTGGAGAACGGGCAGTTTTGGAACCAACTTTCCCAGCAACTACAAACACGAACCATACATTGTTCTGAATAAGAATACTCACACATAATTTTATAACACAACTTTCTATTCACTACTAAAATTAAATTTGGTTAAGATATGGTTTTGAATGGGAGATCTGAGGGGAAGGAGACCAGTAGGAAGACCAAAGGCTAGGTAGTGGGATCAAGTCCGGAAGAATATGGAAAAGATGAGACTAGAAGAGGAAGATTTAGAGGACCGAGAGAACTGGCGACAACGTGTTGGCGAGGCCAAGTACCAGCTTGGGTACAAGTGGCCATGGCAGTAAGTATGTTTTTGAATAGTCCTATGGTATAATTATTCAATGTGTACTAACTAGAACACTAGCTAATGAATACTCAGTAACATAAATGTTTGTGCCAAGGATTGGTTTCACTTGTTACATAGTGGTCAATTCCACAACTTTGGGATACAGGATTCAATTCAAAATTATTGATTAAAAATTCAATCTGAAATCTAAGTTAAATTATTTTTTGTATATGAAAATGACCATAGTAAATTGAGGTCTCAATATCTCTTCAACTGAAGTAAGTTCTGTCATGTACCTACTCCAAGTTAGTTGCACACCAGACCGAGTCCAGAGGTTTTTATAAGGCCCCGTCCTAGCTGAACGACGAAAGATCGGTCGGTCGTCCATGCGTGATCCGTCGCACCAACAAATTTCAAACACGACAATGCAACCGACGGCGTCAAACGACCGACCAAAGACAAACATGTTTGCCTTTGGTCGTGCGTATCATCAGACCGACGATTGCGATTGTAGGCCTTGAAGAGTGAGGTGGTAAAACGATGTTAAAATAAGGTGTTCTTCCACAGAAATTGGCCATATAATGTTTGTAGTCTTCAATGTAAATTCCTTCTTCAATTCGGTGACGATGTAGTCAAATGTATTCCCTGACATCCTAGTGTAGTTTTTATAAAGTTCAGGATACAATCTTAACATTTCATATAACTGATGAAACCCACCAAATTCATACCTGTCCTTAAAAATCTCATTTGTAGCATTCCTGTGGTCCACCGATTTCTTCTTTAGGTAAGCATAGATTATAGAAGAACTGTCCAGCAGCACGAGCTTACGTGTTTTCTCAACCGATAACATGGGTAACAATGGGGGTAACAATTCTAAATGCCTTGCATTTTTCTGAACAATAAGATTATTTGGTTGTAATATTAAAGTATGTATTGTAACATGTCTCCTTGTGTGTAGTATTCTTGTAAATATTGTATATTGTATTCATTAACTGACTATGCTAGTTTTAGCAGTTTTTCGGACATTGTCAATAATTTGTATAAATTCACAAGACAATAAACACATTTAATTTCATTTCATTTCATTTCAATGGTCGAATGGAGAGGAACGTTAGTCGCTGCGACGACTGCATGGCCCAGTGTGGACACTCAATTCCGTCGTCAGACCGACCGACCACCTAAATCTCAATCTGAAGCACTGTCACCTAGCTAGGAAGCTGTGATTAAACACCAATGGCATTAACAATACTAAGCTTGCCTTGCAGGTGTCAGTACATGTCAAGTACAGTTTTAGTGGTTTTGTTGAATTATGCTTGTATAAATAGTTGTAAGTGAAGGTTTTATTTTGAGCTTACTAATGATGAATGCTAAATCAGCTTTAGGTACTTAAAGGGTTAACACGCTCCCTACTGCAATAGTACACAATTTTTCATTCACATGAACCAGCGACGCACATATGCCACGACGAAAGATCGGTTGGTCGCCCATGCGAGCAAATCCGTCTCACCAAAAAATTTCAAACACGACAATGCAACTGACGGCATAGCTTTCAAAAAGTTGTTAGTGAAAAGCCCAAAGGGTCCTGTGTGGGCCCAAAAGGGAGTGGGGGAAGAGAGGGAGAGACAGCTGAGTTGATGCACTGGAGGAGGAGGAGCAGAAGGAGAAAACTCCACTTTGACTCCTGGTAACAATAAGACTGCCGTCGCATATTTGCATCGGGTTCTAATGTTATTGAAATGCTTATATCTTTGTAACGGTCAATTTGAAGGCACTGAATTCCCTGCAGTGGTCTACAGAGATGTCTGACGCACAACTGCGTTGCTTGGTCTGTGGATATGATGTTTGGTGACGGATTAACGTCCGCACTAGTGAGTACTACTACTATCCGCAGTGCTATCCTGATAATTAGACCAATTCGTATATACCAAGGAAAAAATGTGGTTCGGATTCCACTATAAACTGTAGGTCCCTTTAGTTGCCATTAGCTGTTTGGGCTATTAATTAACAGCTGTGTCTAAGGAATGTCGGCCTTAGTCACTAACAAGACTACAAGATCGCGCCACTCATCCTACACTCATCTCCATTCATACTTGGCTTAAAATACCTACATAGTATGGTCGCCATTTCATAAGAAAGTAAAGTAAAGTATAAAAGTCATATGATAGTTGGAAAAACTGGTCTTTACTTTTCTGCATCACAGTATTTATGTATGCAGTATGTATGCTGCATTATCCTATCTAGCTTTTATATTTGTTCAGTTATAAACTGTTCTTGAATAATCTGTTATTTTTTTACTTAAAAACATAAAAAAATTAACTGTTGCATATATGCGACGTTTGGTCTATTTCAAGAAAACTATGAACATTTTCTCTATTGTCTTCGCTGTAGACCGGGTGTCGCAAATATGCGACATTAAGGTTAAAAAAATACAGAAACACTAGAATAAATTATTTACAAACACGATTGTAGTGCATTACAATGTAAATGATCGCTGTTTTACAGGTTTTCGCCCGTGGTCTGTGTGTACTGTTAACCAACTACTGTGGTACCGTGGTACTGTGTCGCATATATGCGACGCTCAGTAGTGAACATGTTAAACGGTTAAGGGATAGCACTTATACAAATACTAAAAGAAGCATGCTTGTAGCTTTGACTAGTGTTTCATGTCAAAAAACACTGGTCTGATTCGAGTGACAGAGAAGTTGGCATTTGAACAAATACAAACTTTGTTTGACTGACCTGAAAGCCGTCGTCACCAAGTCTGTTGTCGCACAGCACCAGATACTGAAGATTTGTCTGAGTAATCAGTGCTCTAAACACAGGGTCCACTGTAACAGCGTCCAGCCCACAGTCTGCCAGTGAGAGAGGAATACCTTCCAGGCACCGTTGTAGGTGGTCATCCACTTCTGTTAACATAAGAACATTAAAAGGAAGTAATAGATCAATCTTATAGGGATGAAAAAATTAATTTAAAATACCAAGCTGGTGTTTTATTAGAAATAAAAACAAATATTTTTGATGCTGACAGGGTTTCTCATCACTTGGTTTCAAAAAACTCATTAAAGATTCAAACAACTCATTGAAGAAATTATGTAGATTAAAAGAGTGGGGGAAAAAAAGGGATGGATTTTATTTGAGTATTATAAGTGGAGGGAATTGTTGTTTTCTACGTTAGAATCCAGTTTCGGGAGCATGATGCAATAGACAAACTATTGCAGCATCAAGTTTTAGCTGTAAAAGATTTGTTCAAATAATGAATTTCAAATAATTATTTAATAATAATTATTTGGAAATTAGTAACTTTTAAAAATAAGATTCAAAGAAAGATTTATGGACCAATTTTAGAAGAAGGAGAGTGGAGTTGAAGACATAATAGGGAATTGAGAGAACTCTACAAGGATTCAGATGTGTTTTGTGAATTTAAATGTAGAAGAATTAGATGGGCTGGGCACGTTATGAGAAGAGAGGAGGGTGATAATATGAAACAAATCTTAATGAGAAATCTCCAAGGAAGACAACCGAGAGGATAGCCGGAGACCTGGAGTAACCAAGGAAGACGCACAAGATATAGAAAGACGGAGGGGTGTTGTTGGTGCGGCAAAATGTCTCCTTAGATATGCGTGGCCTAAGTAAGTAAGTAATGAATTTTGCTATCACAGTTCATCATCCGTTTTTAACACGGTTCAATGTTCTGGGGAAAGATTTGGTTGCTGGTCGCAATACATTCAATGGGTTAACTTTTTCTGTAAAACTGTGTGTGTAAGTATAAAAAGCAGATGTCGTCTGGTCGTCCTCATACGGCGAGAACCACAGAAATGATCTGAAAGTTACTAAAAAGGAAGTACTAAAGAAATTGCTGCTGGTTCTAATGACACTATGAAGAAAGTAATGGTCTGCTTCAAAGAGAGCCTTTTAATGTGTCAAAGAAGGACATGACTTCATCCAAAACTATCTTTGAGTGTTCAGTTAAGCAGGATTAACAAACTGGATAAATTACATATTTTATTGATGTAAGTACATTGTTTGTATGAGCGTAAAACAATTATTATTTATTTATAATAATAATCAATCAATGTATGTGTTCTTTTTGCACCCTCCCATTACAACACCTCCCCAGATATGATAATGAGCTCAGAAGACAGTTCAATTGTACCAAATATGATGTTTTGGGTTATTTTCTTACCTATTTTTACACTTGTTGGTTATTATAGAACAGTGCAATAAAGACTGCAAATTGATTATGTTTGTCATCATTGTTGTTTGCATGCATCTACAGGCCTACTCAAGGTTTCCCTGTTGCATAAAAAGAAACAATCCAGTCCTGAACCAAAAGTACAATCTTGTCCATCCCTGAATTTTAATAATCCAACACATTCCTTGCATAAGGAGCGACGTTAAGTCTGCCACAAGCGTCTGCCTGTGTTTTGTTATCAATGCTCCACTTACCGACACCTATTTCAGCGCAGACCTCCCTGTATCTTTCAGTAGCTTTGTGTACTTTCCAGCTGTTCACCACCCCCACCACCTCATTACAGCCCAGTAGTAGAGAGACAGGGTCCTGGGGGGACAACATGGCTCCCTCCCATGTCTGTAGGCTCAGCCGCGGCTCTTGACCTTCGAAACTGTAACACATACACAAGGGGGGTTGACAATTTTTTTTAATTGTCTACACCAGTGTGTTATGAAAATAGACTCAAACAATAAACGCTTTTGTTTATGGATATGTTTTCAGACTTTGATTTCATTATTACTAAACCTCATGTATTAGTGATTTATAGAGCTTTTTTTTTAAAAAAAAGAGGTTGGCTGCCTCTTTTAACCTTGCATTTGCCCGTCCACATAGACTAAGCGCCCGTGCGTGGATCGTTTACAGCAAAGCAAGGAGTGAGCCAGTACAGTACAAAGGTGAACTGTACTGATAAAATGTTATCGGCAGTGACCAGGATCCGAACCCACGGCATCGCTGCCTTGGGCTCGAAGTCCGCGACGCTACCAACTGAGCCACCGACTCACTAATATTTGGTGGGCTTATAGATGGGGTTTTGACCTGAGCTAATGGAATTAGAATTACTCATTCTGTCTTAACATTTTAGTAATTCATCAATCCATAAAAAACTAAAACATTTTTTTTTTGTAATTAGTTTGTAATAAAACAAGCTTGTAACAGTGTAGTGTTTGATGTCAAACCTTACATACATAAACCTTATATTTAGGATTTTATTGACTAACCCCCATGATAGAACTATAATTACATTTTACTACCTGTAGTAGCGTTTAGCAGCTTCTTCAGCCAGCCAGGCGATGGTTCGAACTTCCTGGGTGTTTTCTTGGGTTGGCAGAGGTATCAGTAGTAACTTCCCTTCCACCCGCACTTTTATGGATGGCAGCCCCATCTAAGGGAGAATACATATAAAATCATTGTATATTAAATATTTGTATTTCAGAAAAAAATTCTGCTGTTTAGTACACATTATAAATATTTTTGTCATACTGCAGAAAAAAACTGCTGTTTTCAATACTGTGTTTGGGTCCATAGTAACCCTTCCCAAAGGGGGGGGGGGGGGGATAAACTGGAGTCCAAGACATTAGCTGTACATTTTATCTACTTGAAAACGTAGTTTGAATTGTAAACAAAATATAAGTAATCATATTTACCATTGACAGTTTTTACTTTTTATACATTATAATTCATTGTTCCTTTCATATCAACTGGATTGCAATTTATTCATAAAGATCACTTCAAAAAAGGAAAAGTTCATAGTTGTTTGTTACTTTGAAGAAACTTTAACAATTACTTAAAACAAGGATCTATGGTTTTTGTTATTTTCCGTGTTATCAAATATTTCTGCTTACGCTGGGAATATCACTATCCCGTATTGCCTGTCCAGTTAAACGGGACCCGTTGTGATGATGTGGAGTAGTATGAGTGTAAATGAAGATACCTGGGCCCTATATATCTTCCTCTAACCACTGCCAAATCACGCACATTTCCTGTCGTAACCCAACTCTATTGCAAGAATTAATCTAACTCGTCAAAGTGCACAATATTACCTTAGCTGCCTATCACAGCCAGCTTTTATGTTCCCAACGTATCTAATTATAATATAGTGAACAGAGAAATATATATATACGGACTTATTCTAATTCGTGAAAAAGGTAACTAGATTTAGCAAATGTGAATTCTAATTTGTGATATTAATTGCCAGACCACGACCATTCTAGAACCCAATAAATTACATAATTTAATTACTACCTACCCTAGCCTACACCCTTCCCCAACCCCTACGAAACTATCTAGACATATTCCAATTTAAGGTACTTATCCGGACTAGATGTACAGCTCCAGGCGGTCGACACTACACTACTACCCTGGCTCGTTGCGCGTGCCTTCCCGGGCCGACTGCGCGCGCATCGTTGTCACGTGACTTGCGCTATTGTAGCGATCCGCTACACCGTTTGGCAGGATTCAAACGCATGGGTTTTAATGGGAGCGTTCATATTGTTGCGGTTGAGGTGCGTCGACGGGATCCACTGCATGCTGCTGCGGCGTAGCGGGATGAGCAGACGACGGGATGAAAGGCAAACATCATGCAGTTAAATGAGAGCAGCCACAACATCCCGTTGTGCCGCGCGTTTATCCCTACTGTTGTCGCTATCATCAGTGCTCAGCATGTGATACTCGCGCACTTCACTCGAAGTATGTTGTGGTAGAACAGGAAGTTGTGACAGGGTAATGTAAATGCGGTAAAAACACATTCCACTAAACAGGATAGTGTGGCGCCGGCCTTATCAAGCGAATCTGTGGCCGGTTTAGAATATTCAAGACTCTTTTTTATTACTTTGTACTTTCACACACTATCCAAACAAAACTCCTATAAGGCAACTGAAATAGACAATCTATAATTTTATTCCTAATAAATACTGTACATACCTGAGTATTCTGTGTGCATTGAGTAGGTTGCTGAGTCGGGGGCTGGAAGTTCATTGGCATTGCTGGTGGAAGTTCTGTTGGAGGAGGCATTGACTGCCTAACAACGCCAAAGCCTGTCAGAGGAACTTGTTGTGTGGCTGTGGAGACTGGCCTCACATTACTGGAACATTTGATTAGATTCATGTTTAATATTGAGGGTGTGATGCTTCACAGGGATTCTCAGATTTTTAGCTTTAAAACCACAAAGCGAAACTTCTGTTTACTACAAGGCAGAATGCTGTGCTGGAGGTGACTTGTGTTCGGTTGGAGCGTGATTGGAAATGTTTTTCCTAATTCTCCACACAGTCTGTTCAATAAACTGCTTTAGACCAGTGGTGTGGATTGTACAGTCAGTGACAAAACAATTTATTAAAAAAATTGCAACAAATTTTAATCAGAAATCGTCAAAATATTAGAATTATTACTAATTTATTTCAGGATGATGAGGTGAGAGATGTGGAAGCTAGAGGAGTGCAGTGGCAGTAAGTGAAGGAATAGGAATTGTGGAGGGACAAAAGAAGAAGGAGAGGCCTAGTGGACACCCAGATCCAGGGATAACCGGAACAGGAGAGGATATATGCATGTATTTATGATCAAGGGTACAACTTGCAAAGAGTCCACCCTGTCAAGTCACCTTAGTGGTCTACCCTTAGTTTCAGGTGGGTATACCCTACCAAGCTATGGAGAGCAAGCTGGTCTAGAGGTAGAGCGTGGGACTTGGTCCCCGAACTCCTGGGTACAAATTCCGCCAATCACCAATGAATTTTATCAAATTTATAATGCGATGATCCCCTCTAAGCCTAGCCTAAAGTGATGTGAAACACAATTCCGAGCTAGAATCTAGAAAAAAATCTACCAGACTCTGCCACAAACAGGCAAACTCACGAGTTTCATATCAGATCTGATTGAGAAAAGATTCCATCCCTATTTCTACAGTTGCTATATATTGGCAGGGGGACATAATTGATCTAACTGTCCAACACACCATAGCCGTAGACAGAATAACATGGACCAAGTGGCTGGGTCTGTATGCTAACTATTGTTCACGGGTTTAGGGACTGCTTTCTTATAACTGTTGCTCGACTGAATTCACATTAAAATGTACTAGGGAACCTAATAGCAAACAGTAATTTTCTCTAATATTACAGGGAAAAAAATAAAACTAGTCAATATTGTGGTTTTTCTAAAGAACTTGATCTAATTGTTGATTTCACACAAAGCATTCATCATATTTTTGTCCATAAAAATTAAGTTAATTTTTTTATTATTTTTAAAATTAGAGAAATAATAATTACCTTTGAGGTTGTTGGGGAGTAAGAATTTCCTGTACAATGTCATGTTCATCACTTATAGTCACAGAGTCTCTTTGCTGCACATCTTCTTCCACCTGAAATGATAAAGTTAAAATTAATATTGTATAAATTACTCTTAATGAATTTAATTATTAGTTGGTTCTTAAAGATTATTTATGTTGCTAACACAGCAGCAAAGTTATTTTTATCACCATGAACTTGTATAAAGCAGACTAGTAAAACTTAAAAAAATAAATTAAATCTGAGCTAACATACAATAGGCAAAAAAGTTTATTAGCGAATTTCCCTATAGGGAAGTAGCTATTACCGTAGGTCTCATGGTAAGACTTAGGCCCGGGACCGATTTACTTTTTCATTTTGATGTCCCCAGAGGCCAAAAACACCACTCGTTCAAATTTTTATATATGTATATATATATATATATATATGTCCGTGAACACGATAACTTGAGTAATTTTTATCCAATTTTGATGAAATTTGGTTTGAAGGTGTAAGGCGGGATAAACTTGAATGAGTTCGCGATCCAGCATGATCGGACCATGGGAACAGGGTTTTATGGGGGGTTTTATGGGGTAAAAATTGGTTTTTCTCACTTTTGACCCTCAAAACACAAAATTTCCCAATTTTTCTCTAAACCTTCTTAAAGAGCTTAAAAAAACAAACAATTCAGTATATCAAAGTGTTTTTGTACGGTTATTGGTTACGGATAAAACTAAAAAAATGGTAAATTTAAAATTCCCATGTTATTCTTATGGAGAATATTGTAAAATGTTGTAGTTTGCTTGTTTATGGATATCTTTTGATCAAACTTGGCAAATATATTCATTTTATACTAAGCAATAATTATTTTACTTAAAACACACACTTTATTAGTTTCCTTGTAGCAGCAAACCTAGGTACTCGTTAAACCTAATGTTATTTAAATAGATCAATTGAAAATCAATTCAGCCAAATGGAAATTTGCTTAGGCGTCAGGTTTGCTGCGGCGGGGGTATTTTTACTGTAAATCCACCGATATAATTTTTTTTTAGTTAAATAGAGTTTAACCCTATAGTTTAGGCGTAGAACTAAAATTTCAAAATGATTCTATCAAAGAAAGTCTCTTATCCTTAAGCTCAATCAACCCATTCACATTTGTTTGCGCAAATGTGTGCTCAAACGTGATGTGTGCCGATAAATGTATAAAAATCACTTACAAAAATTACTGAGGAGAGATCGTTGGAGAACTGGAGAAGACAATACTACTTTTAATATACTGAAAAAATTGTTTCCATAAACCCACACACCTGTCGTTCCCCTGAGTTGCTGGAGTCAGTGAAAAGATCCACAGGGCTGATAGGTCTGTACACACGTCGGGGCGCCGGGGGAGGGCTGTCCAGGCGGTTGGGCCGGCGCTGGGGCTCTCCCTCAAAGTGGTGTGAGCGGCGCCGCTTGATGCCCCTGTGACCTGATGGTGCTAGGTCATCTACCAACCAGTCTTCAACTACCTCATCTTCTGCCACTAGGGCACTGTGCTCAACTCTTGGTGGACTCTGAACAAATATGGGACGAGGAATCGGTAACTCTTTTACTTAGTTTTTGTAAAATATTAACATTAACTATTTTTTTTAATTTAAAGTACATTTATGCCTGTTTTCATAGATGGACAATCAACAGGCTTACCTGTTGTTAAATTATCTTACCTGTGGTGAAGGAAATGTTGTGTGTTTCCGCCGCAGACTTTTCATTGCTTCTTCATACTCTCTTGTAGCTGTTGTACTTTTCTTTGATGGTACTTCAAGTTCTTCTCCACTTCTTCGTAAGGAGGAACTAGATGACCTTGATCTATCTTTATCAGAAAATCTATGTTTGGATGATTGAACATCCTCCTCAAAACTCCTCCTTTTGTTTGATGGCACTAACAAAATAAAAACTTGGATTGAAATTAATTTAAATAAAAAAAAAAAATTAATTATTACGAATGATTACCTAAATTGCGAAGGGTTTAAATTAATTTGTAGGTGGTTAAAAGCTAACTTTTCACTTTTTCAGCGTAACATTCAGTCACCCCACACTCCTTTGTCCACTCGCTATCCAAAACTGGTTTTACAACAATGTTCAGCCTCTTCACTCCACTGTTCATTGTTGTTCCATGATGTAAATGCTATCATTACATTGTTAAATTGTGAAATAGATGTAATTCTGTGTATTTTAATTGATTGATTGTGTGAGATGAATTAGGGAAGAATGGAGTGAACTGACTTGTGAAGATTTTTTACTGCCAAAGACCAGCTTATATCTAAGCCAGTACTATTCAAAAGATATAGGTCTTCTGGTTCCCCTTCAAATCATAGAAACTACGGACTTTTTCAGCATTGAACTATGTTTCTACTGATTACTAGATGAGAACTACATACTCAAATAAATACCCAATAATGATTTTTATCTCTACAATACCATCAGCTCGAATTGTAAGCTTAACCACCACTTCTGTCACAATATCCTTTTCCTGTATCCTGTAATTATTAGCCTATTTCTTTCACTTAATACCAACATTTTAAGCGTTGCAGTTGACTCTGATTCAATAAGACTAATGTGATGGAAGTCACACTCCCAATCACGTAATGTTTAGATTTTTGGAAGCAAGCCAACAATAATCAATTCCGCCTAAGATCACATACAGGTTTTGGTTAAGGTTTGAGCCTTAGACTAAAAAGAGAGCACACAAAACTGCCTGTTGTCTAGTGGAGTTTAGAGACATACCTTCCACCTTGTCAGACAAATGTCATGTTAACTTGGACTTTATTAGAAAATTATCACAACTTTATTTTTATTTTGTAAAATCTTTGATCCTGAGCAGGAATCTGGACAAAAAAAACTTAAATAATCGATAGGTATAGAGCAATATGTACTGGGGTAGAAATACCTTGTCTTTGTGAAGGATAATCCCTGGTGTTTTCCAAATGCCCTCTTGACGTTGATGGCTGACTTGTGAAAGAGGAGGTAACGGGTGAAGGGGATCTCCTTTCAGACTCTGGATTGTGTCCAGCTGGAAAAGGGGGGAAATGTTATCACAAAGCTAAACATATTGTTATTCAAATGTGCTAGATGAACTAGCTAACTGAAAACAATACAATTTTCTGACATTTGACATCAGCATTTATAACCTAAGAAAAAAAGTAGTGAGCCCAGGCAACCACTACTTCCAAGTAGTCCAGGTCAAATGAAACAAACTAAATATGAAGAAAGAAAGTGGTGTTCTAAGTCCCCATTTGGGCACCCCTAGTACCTTGTACAGAAAAGGTAACAATGTCAATAGTGTATTATATTCTGAATTTTCAAACCAGTAAACTACTGAAGCACTCAAAACTGAAACAAGGTACAATGTTACATGTGTGATTTACTATACATACAGTATGTGTACACTATGTTTCGGAACACACCTAACATTTTTACAACATGTTGTCAAATTGCTATCCTTTAGAATTAATTAATTAAGAAAGATGGTTAAAGAAATTTAAGATTAAATTATTAACTCTTTGCCCTCGAATGGTTGGTGGCCACAGCTGTTTTCGCGTCAGCTCGTAATTTTGTTCATGCCTCTCGGGTTGTATGGCCAGCCATTGTGGTTTCTCTGTTAGGTTGGCCACCATTCTGCCAACCTTTTTAAATCAGCTTGTATCAAGTATTTTAGTTTTTCTAATAGTTAAGGCTAATGTTTTCCACATTAAAACAAAAAAAAAATAAATTCAAATAAGTCCAATTATATTTTATTAAAAGCTAATGAAATAAGAAACCTTACAAACTAACATTTTAATATTCTGTGAGTCAGGGTACTATCTCTGTTTAGTGCCACAACCTACAGAAGAATTACTAAACAATGTTAACAAGTGTAGGATGGCCACCTATGCTGGCTGAACGAGCTGACAGGGAAATCAGTAGAGGCCAATAGCGCTGGCCATACGACCTGAGAGGAACTTCCTCTAAAATGGCTTTGAGACCGCAAAGTGTTTTAAGGGAATCTGCATCCATGAGGTCCGGTTTAATTTAAATAACATTTATTTTCATACTAGAAATATAGGAAAGAATATAGCTTGCTTTTTAGACACAATTTGCACTTAAAAGTACAAAATAATTTGTCTTTTCGTTTCTTTCAGCAACACAAACGAGGTTTTTAATCCTCTAACCTGATGACGAGTGAAGGATGAGTTATAGAATGCCTTGCGTAACTCTTTACTGACTCTGAACAGATCCTTTTTCAGCCAAAATCATACTATGGTGTGGGGAAAGAATTATATAGTTTGCTTCTTAAGGATAGTTGCCTTTTTGATTCTTTTCCGTTAATTCACTGTCACTACTATTTTTATTGCAATTCCGATATTTTTAACAGCATAGTCTATGAATATATCAATTATAAAGTTAAACTATTCCAAACTAACCTAACCAACCAAACTTGCGGATTATGAAAAAAATTTGGGTAGTGAATAAACGGAATTGCAATTAAAGAAATAATGGTAATGAATCAACATAAAAGGACCATTTTTTTATGTAATGCATAAATAATATCTACATTCCAGGGATGTATTACAATTATTGATCAACATAAGCTTTACCAGAAGCCACAGCTTACATGTAAGATATAGCTACAGATTTGTTACCTTTTTTCAAAGCAACTCTGAGTGTTTTGACAACATCATCATACTGGGCAAGAGTTTCAGGGTCCAAGTCTGATTTTGTTTCCTTCTTGCTCCTTCTTCGCCAAGCAATCAGGCAATCCAGAACGGTTTCTCCCTGTGAGGAAAACAACTTATACATTGCAGTAGGCACCACAGACTTAAATCATACTATTGACATCGTGATCACTATTTACGTAACCATTATTTGATAGAAAATTGAGAAGGAAAGTCAAACAAAACGGACTACTAAAGTACCAGCCATGGTTGGCTTAGTTCCTAGCGATAAAAATAAATGATTGAGATGGACTGGAAGTGAAAAGGACGTGGGAAGAAGATATGATAAAACCTGTGTTAAAGTTTTACCCACTTTCAAAACAAAAATGAACATAGCTAAATTATTGAACCTCCCTGATGTGCTGATCAAGTACTGATTTCTGTTAAATACACCAACTTTATGAGCAAGCCAAATTGAAAGGATAACTGATGGTACCGTAGCTTTGAGAAAGACAACCATAGTATATTTTATGTAACATAAACTATTATGTATTGAAAAAATAAATAAAAATAACTATGGGAAAAACTTAATTTTAAACTGTAACACGTTCTGTGAGTGGCTCATTAAATTATTTCTTTTTAATTGAAAACATGACTACAGCTGTTCATAAGGTGAAATATCTACTTTAGTTAGGGATAGACAGAATTGAATTTTGAGTTCGGGGCGGGACCGGATTTTTATTTCCTTCCCAATTTTTGGGAAGGGATGGGATGGAATTATTTCCAAGTGCAAAAAAGGATTTAAAAAAAAATCTTGAGTAAACACCATAGCAGAGATATTAAGAAAGACAAACTAAATCAATTTTTGCCTTTGTGGTATTGATCTACAAGAACCATCATTGGGTAAAAATACTAAAACTACAAAGATATTGCAAAACCTTTGACTAACAAATTTCAGATTTGGGGAATTTAATGGTAGAAACACACATACAGCGATTCAGAGCGAGATTTAGCGGCGCAACTGACCTTGCACACAGAGCGACACGAATGGGAGCTTAATCATTTCCAAGATATCACATAGTAAGTTCGCACGCAATTTGCAGCACAGCCAAAACACGTGGCTAAAAACATTCATTTTGCGTGCTTCTAACCGATCGGAGTGGTTGCATGAAGTGAATGGAGGAAGGGAGGTACATGGTAAATATCACCATTTGTTTCCAGTTCTTAAGAAGCATTAATCGCGATTCATGCAATACATGTCTACCTCAATCTTTGAATACATTCTTTCATAAATAGAAGGTTCGAGAAGGTTCCAAATTGCTCCGTTTCCGGTAGAATGGGCATACAGAGCGGACTACTGGCAAAAGGGGAACTAAAAATGTCTACTAGATCATTGCCCACTCCACTCCCAAACACTAGAAAAACAAACAAGATTGTTTCGAAGCTAAAAGCTACGCTCGCAACAGCTATCTGTGTGCGCTTTACTACTTGATTGTATGGGTTTGATTTTGTCACTCTTAATCGCCCAGCTCCACTCCGCTCCCAGTCGCTGTATGTGTGTTTCTACCCTAAGTGTGAAACATCAGTCTCATTATAAAATGCCCATAGCTGACCAGAAACAACCCATAGGTGTTTAAACAGACAATCACTGCTTTTTTAAAAACTGTATGGTGTTTTAAGGTCCGCTTTCGTAACGCCATTGTAAATTTGTGTCGCTGTCACGGAGCCATCTTCAACATGTGCTGCATTCGCGTCATAATTGTGACCTTGTCCCGTGGTTTACCTTATTGGTTCGCATGACAGGTGACGCCCCTCTTCGCAGCAGCAGCTGTATCACAGTCAGGTTGCCGCATGTGGCTGCGTCCAGTAATGGAGTCACTCCATCACTGACGTCGCCTCCTCGGTCATTTATGAGAGCTCCATGGTCCAGCAACTCCTCCACAATCTCCAGGTGTCCGAGGTTGCAAGCCTCGTGGAGTGGCAACCATCCTGCATTGTCTCTCACGTTCACGGGATGACCCTGTGGGATGAAATGTCTTGAATCAACAGATAGAAATGTAAATATTTCTCTTCCTCCCTACTAAAGAATTAAAAAAAGTAATATAAAAATAACTGTAATAATCCTAACTTTATATACAAAGAGGAGAGTGAAGGACTGGTGGCCGACAGCTGTTGACCTTGCCTTTGCCTGCCTCTAAACGTCTTGTCACCATGCGTAAAACATGTTTATCAAAGCTACGGTAGGACCTGAACATTACAATAATGAGCTGTGCTGATACATGTTAGTGGTGAGACTGGGTCCGACATGACTCACAACATCACTGCCATGGCTTTGTAGACTATTGGGCTATTGTCTGAGCTCTTACTGGATATTTACTCTTCCAATAAACTTAAAACAAAAAAAAAAAAAAAGAAACCTGTTGAGTTCTTTATTCATTTCCGAAGACCAAAGCCAATATATACAAATTACAAAGAGAAGCATAGTATACAAGAGGTACAATATACAGGGTGATTGATATAAGTGTGCCAGCCGTTTTATTCGAAAACTATAAGAGATATCAAAAAAAGTTAAATGGTAAGTGCCTTGGACTTTTTATTTAAAAAATTGCAGTAAAGTCGAAAAAATTATTTTAGCCGCCATTTTTCCAATATGGCCGCCAACTTCGATTTTTCTTATGGAACACCCTGTATTTTATGATGTATTCTGATAGAAAATGTAATTTTAAGACGATTTTATTCTTGTAATTTTTTTCATAAACCTAACCGTTTCAAAGATAATAATGGTTTAAGTTGTAAAATTTTGAATGGTTTTCGAATAAAACATCTGGCATGCTTGCTTAGGCCTTTATCGAAACTCTTTCTCATGCAGAAATTTCAAAACTTTAACCATTATTATCTTAGAAACGGTTAGGTTTATGAAAAAAATCACAAGAATAAAATCGTCTTAAAATTACATTTTCTACTAGAATACATCATAAAATACAGGGTGTTCCGTAAGAAAAATCAAAGTTGGCGGCCATATTAGAAAAATGGCGGCTAAAATTATTTTTGTTGACTTGACTACAATCTTTTTAATAAAAAATCCAAGGCACTTACCATTTAACTTTTTTTGATATCTCTTATAGTTTTCGAATAAAACGGCTGGCACACTTATATCAATCACCCTGTAGATGTGCAACATTATGTAGATGTTGACTGTACTGTATAAATCTATATGTTTTTCCCACAGTTTAAAAAATATTACTGTTACCTGATCCAAAAGTTTTCTAACGAGTGCAATATTTCCGTTGATGCTAGCAACATGAAGAGGATACTCTCCTTTTTCATTCCGACGGAAATTTATGGTCGGACATCTTTTGCGTGCTCGATGGGTTTCTCCAGGCTCAGGCTCGTCATCTAAAACATTCATTATTGAATCAGGATTTTAAGTTAACCCTTTGAGGTAGATTTTTTTTCCCATTTTTCGGCGAGTATAGTTTGTCATTTTAGCAGTCAGGAAAATGGTCCCCAGCGACCTATACTCGCCATTCAACCGCAAAAATTAACTTTTTTAATTTTTATTTCTTTTGGTCCGTAGGCTATAGATTGCAATTTTTGAGCAGTCGGCAAAATGGGCGGGCGGTGACCTATACTCCCCATTCGACCGCAAAGGGTTAATCAGTTCCAAAACAAAACCCAAAAATTCAATCTATTATTGATTGCTGATTTGATTGGTACTATGACTATTTCTATTATTATAAATGTTTCAGCTTAAGGCCTAAGTGAAATTTTTGCAAAATGGTAGTGTGATAGAAAATATTCCCAGCTGATGTCAAATATTATTGATTGTTTATGTTGACTGTTTTGCAATAATTATTTTTATTTACTACACTCAACTCTTACTTATAAATATCATTACTTGTAAATTGTGTAACCTTTAATGTGTAATTTTCCTAAGAATGCTTGAGTTTGACTTATTTCGTCCAAAAAGCGCTAGGCTTGCCACGGGGGCAGTCTAGTGTGCGAGAAATAAATCGGTAAAAAAATGTCATCTTTAAAGTCCTAATGAACGATATATTAGGCCTCGATTGTATAAAGGAACGAAAGAAAGCATCACTGTTTCGAAACAAGAACCGAGTCAACCGATATGCCCATTTAATCTCACACGATCGAATGTTGTGCCGGCACGATATATCGCCGCTTAGCAATTTTCGGATGAAACAAGAACAACGATATATCGATCCGTAGCACTTTTCGAGAAAAGACGCACAACGATATATCATTGCTTGGCAATAAAAGGGTTAAATAAAGCCTACTCTTTAAAGGCAAACAATCTTTACTTTATTCTGTAACAGGCAGAGGTTTTTTTAAGGAAGTTTCTCAAACTTAAACCACCTTTTATACTGAGCCTATAAAATTGTAAGCTGGAATATATCCCTAAATTATTAATTTAACTTTTTAAACTATTAGTTTTATCAAACCTACTCCGACTATTTTTCATGCGTAAAACCTAGAAAACAGCATCTAAGACCTTGGTGTAAAAGGTTTCGGTTCATCCCATACTTTCTGTTTTACGTTCACCCAATGATTTTTAGATATTTGAATATCTTTCTATTACACATGTTATTAGGATTCACAGATGTTCTGAATAAATTGTTATTATCTTGTTTGTATTGATGAAAAAGGTATTCATAAATGTATGGACAAAGTGGCTGCCATAGATAGCTATGGCAAGAAAACCTGAGAATGTAAGCGACCTCAGGACATTTTTTTTAGGCTTTCTTGCATTAGTTATGGCAGCCACTTAGTCCATACATTTATGGACAATACACTCTTCATCACTTTCCCTTAGAGCGTTGAAAGTATTCCACTACAAAATAGCTCTGGAGCTACAGAGAAAAACATTCAAACCTACCATATTTTGTTAAACCCATATTTGTTAATGACCATAATGTTTATACAAAATACTTCTTTAGCAAACCTTACACCAAGCTGACATTAAGAAAGTCTAATAATTTAAACCATTACCTGAGAGCTCATTGATGTCAATGTCTGCTCCAATGTCAGGTGTGTTTGCTTCTTCTTCTTCTTCACTTGCACTGTCGTTCATAGGGCCATAAGTTTCTTTCAGGTTTTCAAATTCTGCCTCCATTTTCCCTAGGAAATAAAGCAAACAAGTTGATCCGAATGAACATCATAGACTGGAACATGCTAATTTAAAAATCTCAATGATAACTCTTTTTAACTCTAAAACTAGTATCTGAGACCATTGACTTTTGGATGTACTGAAGTAGACGTCCCATCAATGTATTTGGACCAGCCAGCTCTTGCCAATAGCTAATTCAAATAGACATAAATAAATGAACCACATAAAACATGATACAAGATGTCATTCCAGGGTGTTTACACAACAATAGACTTTGGCACACTCTGAATCCTCCAAAATGTATATCACAGCTGGCTCAATCCAACTACAAGTTCATTTATTCTAAAACTTGCAAATAGAGAAAGCAAAGTCTACTTCAATTATAAGTAAAAAGGTGATATTTAAAAGCCTTGGCAAGAATATTCTTATTTTAATAACGACTAAGCTAGAATACTTACGAGAATCAGTAATCATATTCTTCTCCTTAAGAAACTGCACAAAGGACTCCAATGTCCTGGCCTCTAGTTTGATGTCCTTGGCTGTCTGTGCAAGCGACCTTGCTTTTAGATAACATTCAGTAGTCTCATTTACATCTGCCTCTTTCAGCTCCAGAACCTCTGCAATGCTTAACGTCGTCTTGCAAGCCTGTAAAACAATTGACAAACTTGATAATAGAGATACTTGAGTTTGACATTTTTAAGAACGAGTCGAGCCCAAGCCATTTTTTTTTAAAGGTTGGGTCTCAAGCTTTTTTTAGCAGTGCTTTTTTTAACAGTTATTATGTAATTTCATTGAGAGAAACATCATCATAGTTTTTTGAAATTGCAGGGAAATTCTGGATACCTCCCGTGGTCTAGGAAACTTATCCATATTTTTCCTCAATCGCTGCAAAATCCTAGACATTTCTCTGGGTCATGTAGCCATTGTTTTCCGTGATCACGGCAAAGTCCTGGAAATCTCCTGTATAGACATTGTCTTCCACGATGCTATTCGACTAAATTCTGGTCTCCTGTGGCCGTGTGTACATCACATTTATACCATTAAATATGAAATGGCCAATTTTTATTAAAACCATTGTGTAGAGCACAAGAAAAAATAATTTAGTACATTGAAGCGTTGTAGTGGGCTTATAGGTTAAGGAGAACATTATTGCTTGTTTTTTATAGATGTATTTATTTGGATCAAATTTTTCATATAGATATCCTTCATATCCTTTATAATTAGCATTTTATCAAAAACACTTCTCGTGGAAACGTTAAAAAAATTACGTGAAAATGATGACACAAAGCTTCCCTTGTATATAAAATCATATTACTTAAATGATAGGTGGTTTTGATCCCAGATTCCCAGCAAAAAAAATATAGGGCTATAAATTGTTGAGTGGTCACCGAGGACCAGTCGCGGGACGCTCACGCCTAGGCCGGTCCAGCCAGGTCCTGCTGAAATTAATCAGTCAGCGCAGCCTTGTGGAAAGGACTGGAGTTATTGCGTGTGCGTTGCTAGCGTTACATAACCTATACTGTGTGTTTCGCCCGCTGTTCTAGCGGTGCCAGTCCACCAAGACCGGTAAATTCCCAATTGCACTATTTATTTATTGACTTTGGACATTTATTAACGATTGACATTGACACATTTCTTTTGTGTTCAATAAAGGTGGACTTCCCAATATCAAATTGCTATCAGCAGTTCCATGATTCACTGTGATTGGAATAAACAATGGTAAGAAGGGAGAAAGGGGCTGTATATAATTGTAAATATTAGTTATAGTGCTATTTAACATTTTTAGTGTGAACAACAGTACGTTTGTGGGATAAAAAATGGAGTATTTTCATCGCGGTGCCCACAAATGTCATTGCGAGAATAATAAAGAGAATAATTAATTACTAGTGTACATGTTGCTCGAATTTGAGCAATTGCAAAGAATTACATGAGTTATTTCAAAACGAATAACAGTCATATTTACAATGAGTTTAAAAGAGTCAACTCAAAGATTACCGGTGTGTAACTCAGACCATGCTTATCTTCGTTATTGATAAACCTAAAGCATTCCGGCCGGGTTTCTCCTTCTCAAAATGCCTCGCTGTACACAGGTCATTGATAGAGGGCCAATTGAGAACGAAAAGTCGTTTTGGGGTTAGTGTTAGGGCGCATTTGTAACCTAATAGTTGAGATTGTCCAGGGTCAGGTGCTGACTGTGATGAGTTAAGCCTATTACACGCCACTGTTCTGTAGCTGCGGTCGTTATCACGATTACGCCTCCTGACTATGTTTCATTGTCGTCGCGTCGGAGGCATTTAAAAGGAAAAAAACAACAAATAAACAAATTATAGCTACACAAAACAACGATAAATGCACAAATTGAAGTTACAATAATGCTAACACGATCCGTCTTGGGGGTTATGTTTACACAAACTTAAATAGTAAATAAATGTACTCAATGCGTTTCATTGAATTGAAAAATAAATAACAGCAATTAAATTATACAGCTGATCAAAAATGTAAACAATTATGTTCTTCATTAGGATAACATGGGAACTTTCAAAGCCACTGGGGCAGAGTCCAAGGGATTTTTCAGAAATGTAAGGCCAGTTTGCAAATCTACGCGACACGCTCTTTCCAATGAGACATCAACGGATAAAATCGGTTAAGAAATGGCGGAGGAGTTCAACCGACAAAGTTTCATGTAGCGTATCAATTATATAGATATAGATGTTCCACAAATTTTCTGTATGCAGATAAGCTTTTAGGGATACACTAAAAGTATTAACTGGCTACTCCGTTTCCAAACATTATTTTTGGGGAAATAAACAATACAAAACAATAGATTTTTGTTAACAAATAGGAATAAAAAATCAATGAAAAAGTCAATAAGTTAATGAACTAAGCACTTAAAAAATAAAATGCCTTATTCCCACAATATTAACAATTATTTATTAAGTTAAAAACAAAAAAATAACATTGCAAAAAATCCTATTTTGACAGTTCTCATTTTGTATCACAGCTTTTTGTTGCAGCTTGGTTCAAATTAGCTGTTGTCATAAATTTAAACAATTAATAGTGCTGCACAATATCGGTAAACCTTATTACTTTTTGTTTTTAATTTAAACATCTTTGCCACTAAGACTGATTTTGTAATACGAGGGGGTACCCAAAAGTTCCCGAAATAGCTCTGCCGTGGGTGGAGCTTGCGTAGTACAAATTCTCGCCGCTTGGCTCATGTAGCGCTGCTTATAGCCAGTTCAGTGACGCCTGTTCCGTTGACCTGACGTGTTCTGTCCCCGTGCAGTAATAGTTTTTACTAGTGCTGTTTTGTGATTTTGTCGTTTTTTACAATGGCAAGTTTGAGTGAACAGCGTGCAGCTGTGAAATTTTGTTTTCTACTTGGCAAAAACGTCGCTGAAACAGTTGAAATGTTGAAGACAGCCTACAAAGATGACGCTATGGGGAAAACCCAAGCGTACGAGTGGTTTTCTCGGTTTAAAAATGGTGACATGTCAATTCAGGACAAACCTCGTTCTGGACGACCATCGACTTCACGAACAGACGAAAATCTAGTGAAAGTGAAAGAAATTTTGCTTACAGACCGACGACAGACTATCGAGCAAATATCAGAGGCTAGTGGGCTATCATGGAGCTCAGTTCAACGGATTTTAACCGAAGATTTGAACATGAAAAGGGTTGCCGCCAAGTTTGTGCCTCGTGCTCTCACTGACTTTCAAAATGAACGTTGAATTGAAGCCTGCCATGATTTGAAACAGCAACTTGAAGCCGATCCAGATTTTTTGTCCAAAATAATTACAGGTGACAAATCTTGGTGCTATGGGTGCGACCCTGAAACCAAACAACAATCCAGCCAATGGAAGACGGCATCATCACCCAGACCAAAAAAATACCGTCAAGTCAGATCGAGTGTCAAAACAATGCTCATTTGTTTTTTTGGTATGAAGGGGATTGTCCATTCAGAATTTGTTCCAAAAGTGTTTTATCTTGAAGTCTTAAGAAGACTTCATCCGTCTAGCATCCGTTCTAGCATAGAAGACTAGCATCCGTCGCAAAAGACCTGATTTGTGGCAAACAGGGGACTGGTTTTTTCACCACGACAACGTGCCTGCGCACACGGCAATCTCTGTCACCCAGTTTTTGGTCAAAAATGGCATGGTTACGCTACCACACGCACCCTACTCACCAGATCTGGCTCCGTGCGACTTCTTTTTATTCCCACGGATGAAAAGGGGCATGAAAGATGTCAAGAAAAAAACAACGGAGGAACTGACAGCCATCACTGAAGAGGAGTTCCAAGCATGTTTTGAACAGTGGAAACAACGATGGGATAAGTGTATAAAGTGCAGTGGAGAGTACTTTGAAGGTGATAAGGTTGTTTTGTAAAAAAAATAAATATATGTATATTTTAAACAAAAGATTTTTTTCATATATTTTTCCAATATCCTTTTTATCATCTTTCATCTTATATATTTAAAACATTTGGTTTTTCTTTACACAGTTGGTTTGGCTCTTCTACCCGACCAATTTTTTTGAGGTCTCAAATTGAAGGTACGCACACACAGATTTGCCATCAAGCATCGGCTCGGAATATATTGATCTATAATCCTACTCGGTGTATATATATGTAAACAAATTTTTCTCCCCATGTATTTCTTATGGGAGTTAGATTTGGTTATTCTTTTCCGAGTTCGTTTGGCTCTTCTACCCGGCCGATTTTCATGATTGAGGTCTCAAATTGAAGGTATGCACGTACAGATTTGCCATCAAGCAACGGCATATATTTATCTATAATCCTACTCGGTTTATACGTAAACGAAATTTGCTACCCATTTATTTCTAATGGGAGTTAAATTTGGTTTTTCTTTTCCGAGTTCTTTTGGCTCTTCTACCCGACCGATTTTCATGATTGAGGTCTCGAATTGAATGTATGCACGCACAGACTTGCCATCTAGTATCGGCATATATTTATCTATAATCCCACTCCATGTATACGTAAACGAAATTTGCTCCCCGTGTATTTCTTATGGGAGTTAAATTTGGTTTCTATTTTCTGAGTTTGTTTGGCTCTTCTACCAGACCGATCTTTATGCTTGAGGCGTCTGTGCTTGAGGTCTCAAATTGAAGGCATGAACGCCAAGTTTTCACAACAAGCATCGGAAAATATTTACCTACTGTATTACTCGACCAAAACTTGTAATTTGATTTATTTTCGATTTCTTAATTCAATTTAATATCAGACGAGTTTCAAGCAAACGCAAGGTGAACAACCAATATAAAAATTATTTTTCATAAGGTTTTTCTATGATTAAAAATCAATAGCTCCAGTATTGATAATAATGTCTGTCCATATGTTTTGGACTTAAAATAATCAGTAAATTATAGGCTTTAAATTGAGCTATTGATCATTTGAATCAGTTAAGCTTAAGATACTGTATTACTTAATCAAAAATCATAAATTTGATTATTTCTCAGATATTATATTTATTTTAACGCTGCGGAGCAGCATGGGTGTTCTAGTCTGTTTTAAATTTACTTTAAATTAATTTATCATTGTAATTATTTACTTTTTGTACCAGTTTAAACACAGCCTGACGATGGAAACCTAGTTACCGAAAGCGCTTGTGATTAAAACAGTTTATTATATGTTGGCCTTTTTGAACTTTTAAATTTAGTTATTCATTTCATTATTCATTGCCAATATCTCCAATATAAGTTAACATGTCACACGATGATAATTGTATTTTAGGAGATTTGTAAATTCAACTTGCATCGAAGATTTAACCTAGGGGAAGGGTGGGTGTAAACATGTTTAGGAGCAGTCCAGGTGTCACAACACCCTATCAGTAAACTGTCAGTACTATGCTATCAGTAAAGTGGTGCAGTTGCTAGACACGACTGGCAACACCATTTCAGTTATTTTTTAAAATCTTAACATGCGGAGCTGCCTCCTTGAAGGTTAAATCTGATAAAGCAAACAACAGATAAAAGAAAAGCCTAACCAAAACTGAACTGATAACAATTGCCGACTAAATATTTTCAAAATAGATAACCCTACCTCAACAGGATTGTTAACGTTGAGTTCCAGCTCTTCCCTCAAGTACTTGATGGCCTCATCATACTGCTTGTTATCCTTGTATGTCTGAGACAAAGACACGAAACAAGGCCTTAGTTGCTCTCCTGACTCGCCTAGGTCGCGAGCAGTCTGGGAAAAACAGAACAACATTAAAAACTAGTGCAATACGTCAACAATATGTTGTCTTACAAGACAATGATACGAAACAGAAAAATTTAGAACAGTCTACTCTCAACTGAATGAAAAACCAGTTTAGGTTTATAAATCACAATCGTTAGGGTTATCTAATTGTTTATGTTCACAAACATGTCTTTTCACAACTCAAGTCTTGTACTGTATTTATTTATTTTTTTCTGCCTGTGCTTCACAACGGGGCAAGAATACTAAAGACAATAATGTGGGTCTCGGAATATACTACACAAAATAGTTGCACACACTTACCATGTGAATTATGCAAGCAAATCCCAATCGTACTATTGGTTTTTAATGGAAATCTCTTGACTATTTGCATTAAACTGTATGACAGAATCAAAAGATAAATCAGGAAAAAAGTTAACAAACTATAAATTATTGAACAGAACACAACTTGATTGCTTTCGAGGGTATGATCAGGAACGGGCCATGATCTTCCGATGGCGAGAGGTTCTGATAAACCCACTGATGAATGACGATGGGGTGGTCACAGTTGAGATACTTATTTCATACAACTCAAAAACCAAGTTTGTTTTGGACAGTATAACCTAAAAATCACAGAGAATAGAGGCTTCAAAGCTCACTTATTTCACTTCCCAGAGGCGTGGTAAAATGCGACATAACACCTTTGGAACCTCTCGATACGGAAATGACAACGAAGGTGTCCGTCTGAACTGAACCATCCAAAGACCACATAAATAGACCTTAACTTAGTAACTAGTGCACTCCAAGCAGTTATATCTGTTATCTAGTCCTGCTATAATGTGAAGGCCTGTAGGACCCTGTTATAATGGATTAATCTAACACTTCCACCCTGTACGGATTGATCTAACACTCACAGCCAGCATACGATGGTAGTATTCAATAGCCTTGGAGTAGCTGTACATTGCCACACAGCCATCCCCTAGTGACTCATACAGGGACTTCTTAGTCTCCAAGTCACAATCTGGAGTGTCCAATAGCTTCTGCTCGTAACGACTAACAGCAGCAACTGCAGAAAAAGTATCAGGTTATACCAAATTGACGATGTTTACAGAAAACCTAAGCCCTAAAGCATGTTACAATGAAAGCATTTTATTTACTGTTTAGTCAATAATCTATATATATAATACGTGAAGCCGTATTTTGTTAACGCAACTCCTCCCTTATTTGTGGACCAATTTCAACGTTTAAGGTGTCAAAAGATTCGTCTCAATATGAAGTTTTGCAATAAGGTTTTAGAGTTTTAAAATTCCTACTCTGAAGGGCGTGAGACCCTCTCAAAGGTCGGGTTTTCTCCATAAGAAATACATAGAACAAATTTAAAAACAAAAAACAGCTGGTTATAAGAAGAAACTCATTAGCTTTTTGGGAGTAAACATTAATGTTTGTAATATTCAGTAGGTTAAGACCAAGTTAAACAGTTAATCAGTTTTGTTGGAAGAACAGAAAATGCCTCAAGTTCAAAGAAGAATTATTGTAAACGGGAGGATGAGACAATTTATAATAAGATATCTTATGCGTATGAGGAGAGTAAAAAAAATATGGTCTAACAGATACCCATCCAGATACACATTCACTTGGTGAGATCGAGATATTTCAAAACATTTATTAGAAACTATAATAATGCCTTGACTATCATAAGTTCAAGTAGTAATATCATACCAAATCTTGGCGGACCTTATGTTTTTACTGTTGACTTTTGTATTACTCGCTCTACTTCAATTGAGAAAAACGCAAATGGATTGTTTACGGTTATGTTTCCAGTTCCTCGGACAAACTTATACAAAGTTTTTTGACTTAATTCACCAACACAAAACAGACATTTCAAGTCAAAAATAAGAAGTTTCAAAAACTCATTTGCTATTGAAAGTTTTAGTGGCAATATTAGACCAAACATGAAGGAATTAGTGTTTATGTTGTCACCGATCGAGTAGTTACGGTCAAGTTTATTTTAATGATTCAGGAGAGGCAAATAATATACGCTGCTCAAAAAGAGAAAATGAAAATTGCTATCCAAATCTTATAGCTACAAGAGTTATCCAACCTATTTCGACAAATGAATTGAACTTTCAAAACTTTTAGACAGGTTTTATGAGAAACTCCACTGAACAACGTGAGAACGTTCTGATGCGGGGCATATACTGTGACTGACAGACAACACGTTAAAATACGTTAACCAACTTTCAATGGTGTTGCTGCATTAGCCTATTCAAAGCAGATTATGACTGTCCAGCTGGTAACCCGGAGTTTGAGGGTTAAAAATGGAGCACATGAATTTGTTGATACTGTATCACCCCACTTTACAGGATTCTTTACGGAGAAAATTTGTTTTATTAGGGGGATGTCTCAAATCAAAGAAATAAAATAACCCAAACACAGGTTATCAGTAAGGCAACAGTTTTCTTCAATTCTCAATACTGGAAAAGCTTTCTAGCATCATGTTAACTTGAATTGAAGCAGATCGTTCAGCATTCATTAGAAGTTAGTTATCAGTTAAAACTGAGAGCAGAAATAATGTAGGTGAAACTTGACGACGCAAATACAGATACATATTTAAAATTAGTTTCAAACAAGTGTTTAAACTACTCTAAAATGTAACTAGAATTACTCGAATTTAAGCATAACGTTTTCCTCGGCGTTACGTTTCATACTATGCGGCTCATTGAGCCGCACGGGTTCTCTAGTAATATAAATTAGTAATAATATATTTCAGTTTAAACATTTTACTAAAAGTTTGCGTTTATTTTAATAGAAGTTAATTCAAATACCTGTTTTCAGCTTTTTTTCGACACTACTACGAGTTTCGGTGTTTAATTTGTAAGCCTTCAGAAGACATTGTTTGGCACCTCTAAAATCTGGCAAGTCAAAAAGTATCTGAAAAAACAATAAACAATTTTGGATTAATTGTATTGAATTAGTTTTACCTACAATCGTATGTTTTATAGACTGCATTGAGGCTGACCATTAATTAGTTACTGATGGTTTTCTTCAAAAAACGGTTTCATTTACAACATTTACTGTATTCTAGGCTATTTCAAATTTGAATGATTGTTTCTCCCAAACTGTGCAATCAAACTAACACAAAACAGTTTCCATTAAATAAATTGTTCAACTTTATCTTGGAATTTGTTAGTTTCAAATTTATTTGAATTGTGCAGTTTAAAGTAGGCCTATAAAAAAATGTTATAAATGGTTTGAAGTAGAAACTAATACAAGTAAACACAGTTAATTTTGAACTAATCCTTAGCGTAGGAAGAATTTTTGACACATAAAGAGACAAAAAAATCTACTAACATTTGGGTCTATCCATATCTAGTGATCGAACAGGGGTTGCTTGACCATTTTTAAAATAAATAATATTTTTATCCTAGATACCTTTATCAATTCTGGGTTCAAAAGTGATTTAAAAATTTTTTTATCTTTTTTGTTACTCCTACGGCGGCCATTTTTGTTTTGCGGAACACGCAAATTTTTGCTCATGTAAGGGTTTGCGTTAACTTGCACAACTCGGTAACCATGAACACTAGAGTGATGAAACAAAAAGCATTTTAATCTGGAAGAAACAGCCTAAATATTATGTTCAGTACATATTTATTGAAATGTGTATCAAAAACAGTTTTAAACCCATCTCAACATTTCATAAGAAAACGGAAAAATTTCAACTTTTGAAGGCGTATTACCATTGGAACGAATAAAATCTCAGACTTGATTTTTTTTTTGTGTGTAGCAACTCAGTAGAACTGTTTGTATTTCAAATATCAACCATGAGACTTAATTCCTTTAAAAGTTATCATTTTTCAAAAACTGAAATTTTTTGAAAAATTCAAATTTTGAGTCTCAATATCTTTGTTGGGACAAAGTTTAAAAATCTGAAATTTTTACCAAAAACCCCTCTTATGGTTGTTATACTGCTGTATGAATTTCATCTTTGAGATTTACTTTTAAGCTAAGTTACAGTATCATGAAAATCGCAAAAACCCTATAAGCTCGGCCAACGCGGCTAGTACTGTAGGTAGCTTAAAAATTAATTTATAGGTGTAGGTAATTATCTTATTTAATGTAAACTTAGCTAACTTACTTTAAAGTAATGTATAGCCTTTTCTTGCAAATTTCTTGTCTTATGTGAAATTAAAAAAAACTTTTTATCAGATTATTTTTTTCCAGGTATACAAATTTTTTTCAATAGGCCTAAATATTTTGAACTCATTTATTAATTTATTGAACCACTTTCATTTTAATAAAGACATTTCACATACAAAAGCTGTTTGAAAGACAAGTTCTTAAAGTATACAACTTTTTTTACTTGTTAGTGTTTTTTGTTCTACTTTGATCATGCTAATTAGGAAGTTTGGATGTTTCTTCATTTAGTTTGGGGTTGTCCTTCCAGTGGTTTTTGTCAGTTAAAAGAGATTTAATTTTCTCAAAACTTTGTTTATAGGCACCCAAGCTTGGTCTTTCTAATTTGTTTTAAAGGCGGTTGGTTGTTGGTCCTGCTGGATCTTTATTTTGATAACTGATGTCAATCACCTCTGCCACCCACCACTGTCATACACAAATGCAATAGTCTTTGGTATGAAGTGTAATTTTTACAGCTTTCAGTTGCTAGTGAGGTTACGAAGCACCTAACATTACTACTGTCCGGTACAGGAATAAAACAATGGAAGCTTCTTGTTCTTTAAACAGAAGTAATCTTTAAACAGTTCTCAAATCGGTCCAGGAGTTTGTTGTTGTGGTGTTGAGTGATTTCTTCATCTGTTATAAAAATGAATTATTTTGTTAAGAAAAACTGTTTTGTGACTCATTTACGACTTCCTGTAGGTACTGGAGACTGTATCAGTTCCCACAGAATATGAGTTATTTTTTTTCAAAATACCACAATAAACACTTTATTGATTGTGTTAGGTTACGGTACATTATATCTAAATGGAAAATAAATTTTAAGACCTCAATATAAATAGAATTAACTAAGTTTTATTTAAGTTAAATGATGAATAAAACTTAAAATTTAGCAGGATTTTATTTATTTTTAGTACCGTAGCGGTACATATAGGCCTAATTTGTACTTTGGGTACAAAGTTTAAGTTAAAAATCAGTTTTTGATTTTTGAAATGTACATTAAGATAAGTTTACATTAAATAAAATAATTACCTACACTTATAAATTAATCTTTAAGCTACCTACAGTACTAGCCTCGTTGGCCGAGCTTATGGGTTTTTTGTGATTTTCATGATACTGTAACTTAGCTTAAAAGTAAATCTCAAAGATGAAATTCATACAGCAGTATAACAACCATGAGAGGAGTTTTTGGTAAAAATTTCAGATTTTTAAACTTTGTCCCAACAAAGATATTGAGACTCAAAATTTGAATTTTTCAAAAAATTTCAGTTTTTGAAAAGTGATAACTTTTAAAGGAATTAAGTCTCATGGTTGATATTTGAAATACAAACAATTCTACTGAGTTGCTACACACAAAAAAAAAATCAAGTCTGAGATTTTATTCGTTCCAATGGTAATACACCTTCAAAAGTTGAAATTTTTCCGTTTTCTTGTGAAATGTTGAGATGGGTTTAAAACTGTTTTTGATACAAATTTCAATAAATATGTACTGAACATAATATTTAGGCTGTTTCTTCCAGATTAAAATGCTTTTTGTTTCATCACTCTAGTGTTCATGGTTACCGAGTTGTGCAAGTTAACGCAAACCCTTACATGAGCAAAAATTTGCGTGTTCCGCAAAACAAAAATGGCCGCCGTAGAAGTAACAAAAGAGATAAAAAAAAATTAAAATCACTTTTGAACCCAGAATTGATAGAGGTATCTAGGATAAAATTATTATTTATTTTAAAAATGGTCAAGCAACCAATTATTTTATTTCTGGATCACTTGATATGGATTGACCCATTTAATACTAGTAAATATTCCTAAACGTAAATAGGCTATACCTTTTTACAAATTCATAATACTTATTTTTATTTAATGCAAATTGATCGGACTTAATGGAGATCAATCTAAAAAGAGACTAACTTCAAGGTTTAGCCTAAATGGGATTTTTAAAAGGAATAAGAAAATTGGCCAAAGACGCGCATCAGACTTAAAATTAAAACTTGATTAATTAAGCAAGCTCATCAATTAATACTTAAATATAAAACACCGTGGTCTAAATTTGAGATAGAATAAAAATTTTTCCTTTCTTTCTTTTCATCAATATTCGTCTTTTTCTTTCTTTATAAATTATATTTATATTTGATTTTTGCTAAACCATCTGATACAGAGTGCTTAACACTTCTATTTGTTTTGTTTATTCCTGAAAACTAATGCCGAAATAGAGAACTTTTTGGTTAAAAGTGTGTGAATTGAATAGTTTATTTATAATGATTTAGCCTTTTGGCAATACTATGAAGAAACTATAACTTCAAAGTTAATTACTGTACATTAATTTGTCTATAATTCAGCACTACTTACATCAGCCTTTAGCAGTAATGCTTCGCATATTTGTTGGTTTCTGTCTGGAAGCCGCTGTGCAACGTTGAGTGCTTTGTCTATGTTCGTAAGCGCTCGAGTGTGGTCTCCTTGGTTATAATAGAGTGTCCCTAGGCCACTGTACGAACTGCACAGGATATTCCATATGTCCATACTCTTGCATAGGTTTATTGCCTGGATAATGGATATCAAAATGAATTAAAAACATTATTTACTGTTGTAAAACTTTTGCTACAGAGGCAAATTGTGTGATATTTACCACTGTCATAGCTAAGTATTTAAGTGTAATGAAATATTTACAAATTGTGACAAGAAAAACTGTTGTCAGCTGACCCAAGACTCAAAGTTTCCTTGACTGCACAGTTTACATTAAATTAAACTAGTAGTCGTCCAGTGGTCGAAATTTCGACCAAAGATATTGAATGTACACGCATTGACTATTGGACACTGAAGTAGACATCCCATCCATATGGACCATTTTATTATAAAACATTGTAATTGTGTGAGCCATACAGAATGCGTGTCTAAAATTCTAATTTCTTCCTTATTTGTTGCTGATGACAAAGTGGATGGATCAATACAGTTGCTATAGCTCATAATAAGTCATTCCAAAAGTTGAATTGATAAAAAACATCGTTTATTCGACAGAAATTAGTAATTTAGATCAGCGCAATCTGGTGGTGGCTCACATCAACTACGACGAATTTAATAAAAAAAAACTGTTAACAACTTTCACATAGGCAAAGGTACAGACATCTCTATTTTCATCCCAAACTGTAAATAAAACATGTGATTTCTTTCATTTGTTTTGATTTTATGTTTATATTTCGTTGTTATTTCGTCACCAGCATGGCAACCCATTTAACCAATGTTAATATTTTAAAATTTCGAATTCATATTTTGTGCTTATTTTTGAGCCAATTTTAATTTATAAAGGGATTCTGCACACCTACAGAAAAATATCTTTCTAACAGTATGCGTAGATTTTTCCTATGGTGCACACGAGCTGAGAAAAAAGGTTTTAAAGAAACATGCTTGCCTATTAATATGTAGATTGATATTAGTTGAGAGCAATACTCTTGGTTACCTCTTACCTTACAAATGCTCAAACTCTGAACAATATAACCATAAAGAAATCAGCATAAAAACATCTCATAGTTCACCAAGTTGATTATTTTCTCAGTAAATAATTTAAACACCTTTAAAAAAAAAAGGAATACATTATAAAGGTTGTGGGGTTTTAAGAACGTCTGAGACTTAGATTAGTTGAAGATACCAACAAAGCAGGGTATGCGCATTTTAAGGTGAAGATGCGTGAATGATAGAACTGTCTTGAATGAATGAGCTGACAGATTTGTTACTGACTACGAGACTATCTGGTTCTTCAGCCAGGATCATTAATTGAAAGCCTAACTATTATAAAGATGTTGACTTTCTTCAGATACAAACCAGCAACCTTACGATTACTAGGTGAGCAGTGAGTACTATAACCACTGCCTAGCTACCTAGCTATTGGAAGAAAAATCAGGATATTTTCCAGATTGGTGGTATTTAGAAGCGGTATACATCTTTCTAGATGAAGTCTCAAAAAACGTTTTAAGGTAATTTATAAAACGTTTTAGAATAATCCTTTTAACCCTCGGGCAGTCGCACCTGATCAAATTGATACAAAAAGCTTTCTATTACTGCCATTTTGGAGCGAGTAGTCCAACAATCAACCCCTCCGTAATCGTGGTCTCTACCCCTACCTAATATTGATCAGTGGTGTAACTAGTTTCGTCAGGTTATATATTTAAGTGACATTACTCAAATACCCCAAGACTGCCTTCTCAGTAGGTCGCAGCCACCTCGAGGCAGCTACCCGTTAGCCAAGATCTGTAATTGCATTGAGTCTTATGGAGTAATTCATACAATCAGGTCACAACGTCCCACCTCGGTGGCAGCAAACTGGTCACCAAAGAATTGCGTAGACGGTTGATGGCTGCAACTGTGCTTTTTAAGTGACCCAACTCGTAGCCGGCCATTGCAATATTGCAATATATGTAGATGAAGTATGGTTGTAATATACGTTGTAACAACTTGAATGGATGAGGAGGGTAATACATTTGAGGATAATAGTGAAAGTTTCTTATTAGCTTAGGTAGGCCTGCTGAATCTTTTGGTAAACCAAAGAAGACAGAAAAAGTCTGACGAGGGAAAAAGCTACACACTCAATTTCATCTTGACAAATGAACCATACAAAACGAAACAGAGTAATTTTTGCGAGAAGGTCGTAGTCACCATATGTGAAGGGACAAGCATGGTTGCAATTTGTACAGGACGCCAATGTACAGGCTGCCACTTAGTGAGAAGGCAGCAATTAGTAACTTTTTGTCACTAAAAGACTCACTCGATTGTAGTGACTAATTGCAGTTTCACGATCATTTTGCTCCACCACCAGTCCCAGGTTCAAGTACAACCGAGCTTGCATTTCTACCAATTCCTGCTTGTTAACAGTTGTGATCCTGGAACAAAAACCAAATTTTAAGAAGTACAAAAGTAACAGTGTCAAGCTAACTTAATAAAACAGCAGTTTCTTGGTCTCTTATGTGATCATATCCAACTTTACTTTTGATTCAAAGCTACAAGGCTTTTAGAGGGCACTTAAAAAAATGTAAAAAAATCATAAAAATACCTAATTTTTGGGCTATTCCTCACTGCCACCCAATTATCCAGCACTTTCTTTAATCCGCCCCTATCCAAGGCCACACTAAAAAAACAGGCCGTAATGCTTGTCAAGCATGACGTCACGATAGAAGACGGCAATGACGTAGGTATTTATTTATTTTCCAAGGAAAGTTTAAAACAAGCAGACGTCACAAACGGCAAACATTACGTCATTGCCGTCTTCTATAGTGTCGTCATGCTTGACGAGGATTACGGCCTGTTTATTTAGTGTGGCCTTGCCTTATCTTGCAGCTCCTAGTCTGCAGCATAGTTCAAGGGTTAGGACTATAATGAATTTTCAATAAAATCAAAATATGTAACAATATTTTTTTTGGTCCTAGGACGCTCAGGATTGTTTTTCAAATTACTTCAGGCTAGACCTAGGGGTTGCGGCATTATAACTTAGAAAAATTCATTGGTGATTTGGTGAGATATGAACCCGGGACCACTAGAACCAAATTCCCGCGCTCTGGGACTCTGGGATATGTAAAAGATAAAGTACACTATTATCTAAATTAAACCTTACCTTTCACAGGTCTGCAAACTAAGCTTGCTGTATTTCTCTGATTTTTCAAGGCATTTCAGTTTTTCTTGAGACGCAGGGTTGACAAAGGTGTCTGCTTTTAGGAAGTACATGTGGCCTAAGTTAGCTAAGGCCCTTTGTTCTTCAACTGTGTTATTCTCAACCCGTGCTAACTCTAGCAGGAAAACAGTTTATCTTAGATTTATTTAAGTACCTCACTTTTTCAAAATAATAAACAAACAATAGTTATTTGTGTAACTAGTGGGTAAAGTGGCACTTTGCTGCACACGAGAGCAATGTTTAAGCACGAGCCGCAGGCGAGTGTAGAATGATCTCGAGTGCAGCAAAGGCCTTTTGCACTCGTGTTACACATTATATTTTTCCTACAGTCACTATAAAGCATATAAATAATTAATTAGTCTTTCAAACACTATACAACACGTTTTTAGGTTCAGCTGGCAACACAAATAGGTGCCCTAGAGAAAGTAGTACCCGGTCCGTATCACTCCGCTATTTTTCCTTGGCAAGAAATGTGCTCCGTGTTTTGAGAAGATAGTTCCGTATGTTTTTGTACTTTGAAGTGGTTTCCGCGCCTAAAAAAATGCTTTAAAGGTATTTTCTTGTTTATTAAGATCGTAGGAATGTTTTAAAAACGTTTAAAAGAAAAGTCCAGAAAGTTCAGAAATACCGAAACTATAAACACAAAATGACAGGTTAAATCGTAGTTATAATAGTCAATCAGCTGCTCATAGTATTTTATTATCTTCAAGTGTTGCCAACCTATTTCCAAGCGTACACGGATTACGTGCATAATAGAACGCTGTTTTGTGTTGTTTCGTTGGAATCCTGATGTGCGGCAAAGTATTAACTGTAAGACAAAGTATAAATATGCAGCAATTAGCAGCTTTCTGTACTATAAACAGTACAAGGAAGCCAACTTTGTCGAGTGACTGTAGGAAAAACATTTTTCTGCAAAACATTGATTGTTTGGCCAAGTTAACGTTACTCCCAAATGTAGCTAAGTGCTAACTTTATACACTAGTTTACAAGTACGTGGAAATTTTTTGAGTGCAGCAAATGCAATTTGCACTGGTGCACAATAAATTTTTCCAACAGTTATTATAAAGCATAAAAATAGTTAGTCTTTCAAACACTAAACAACAAGTTTTAGGTTAGGTTAAATCCAAGTGTTGAACAAAATGGGTAACACTGCAACAGCTGATCATAGTCGTAGTTAAGTGTTGCAAACCTATTTCCAAGCATACACGGATTACAACGTGCATAATAAAACATTAAAGCACACTGTTTTGTGTTGTTTTGTTGGAATACTGGTGCTATTATAGATAATAATCTACTTACGTATCACGTATGCCAGTAGGTGTCAATTATTAATACTTGATATGCTGGTGATTGACAAAGTAAAAACTGTGTGAAAAAGTAAAAAGTGTGCGGAAAAGTAAATGCAACAATTATCAGCTTTCTGTACTATAATCAGTGCAAGGAAGCTCACTTTGTCGGGTGACTGTAGGAAAATGTATATTTATTTTATTTATATTTATAATAATTGTATATTTATATATAGGCTTATGTTTTGGCTTTTAGCTCAGCCGATAATTTGTTGAGTAACTGTTGAGTAAGTTGAAGTTCAAATAAATTAAAGCAATAATTAAAGTAATACAACATTAGAGTTAATGGAAAAATGTTTCATTAAACATGGCTACAAAATAAATCCAAACAAAAATAAAAACACAGGTACCAAACAAATACTCCTTATTTTGTATGCGTAGAAATGTGAACAAAATAGTGATAAGATAATGTTCTATTACATTTCATAGTAACCCAGTAAGTATCATTTAATGTGTACTTCGTGAGCACGAAGGACGTGTGTATTTATGTCTCCTTCCCAGAAAGCGTGGTAGGGCGAAACCGCAGATGTCCTTGAGCAGGGGCTTGTATTGATACGTCGTGAGAACAGAACGTCCTTGGTCCATGTAGCGGAACGAGATGGTTCGTTAAGGGCAAGACCGTTCCCACTCAAAGTCGGTTAACTCATGAAACATCAAAGGACTGTGGTTCGGTCCGGGTTCGGTACACATGGCACACGTACTGGGGGGTTCACTGTTCTCACGGCCAGTCTAGTTTTCGAGCCTAGAAGTGCATTGTTTTGCAATTTTTACAAGGTGCGATTGTATCATGAACCATCATAAAACTTTTCACTTCCAGTCATAGGTACTAGTCTTCTTCACCTTCCAATAAAGTTTCCAATAGGTCATTAGGTTTTCTCTTTCCTTTTTTAAACATTTAAGTTAGTGAAGTTTCAATACTGAACGCGATTGAATTCGTTCCTCCTTGCGCTCATATGAAGGAGATCCGCGGTTTTCCCCTACCATGCCTTGTTAGGAGGAGACTTAAGCTACATTCAAAAGCTGTTCTGCTTTAGACTGCAGATCTTGCAAAATGTTTCTCTGGAATGTAGCAAAGAACTACTTTGCAACTTGTTACACAAATAATCTCCCACTACATAAATGTGCCCTCGATCTGTTTGTTTGGAAGTAAAAGAGAATATTCTTCAACTAAAATGTTCATGGTTAAGAAAATAATTTGAACTATGATATTGATATTACAAAGCGCACCTTATGTTTCCAGTCAATGGCCGACTATCTAAAAATTAAATATCCAATAACCCTCAACCCCTATTGTTTAGAATAATCAACTAGTTACTGCCTTGTAGAAGCTCACCTAAATACTTGTGTTGATGTTTGATTCCTTCGTCATATTTTTGCATTTTACTGTACACCTCTCCAATCATTCTATGGCAGACAGCCTTATTGATAGTGTTGTTAGCAGCTTCAGCCGCTGTCTTGGCTTCCTGAAAGATTTTGTTAAAATGTTCAAATGTTGTTAGGGTATAGCATTAAAACGTTTAAACAACGTTAATATCTATATATTAATTTGAAACTGTTTTTCTTTGTGACAGCTATTTTGAGAGAACGGCTGGGCGTAGAAACTCGGTAGAGGTGTCTAAAGAAAGGTCCTGGTCTGTAGATGAGCCATCAAAAGAGAAACATGGAGAATTCCCTCGGGGCTCTGCCCCAGTGGCCTTTAAATTCCCATCCCATGTTATTCTTGTGGAGGAAAACGAGGTTTTTGTCACAGCTAATTTGAGAGAACGGCTGGGCGTAGAAACTTGGTGAGGTGTCTAAAGAAAGGTATTGGTCTGTAGGTGAGCCCTCAAAAGAGAAACGATGTAAATTTCCTTGGGGCTCTGCCCCAGAGGCCTTTAAAGTTCACTCTGCAATTTTGTTTACATTTCGACCAAATGGATAATTTTACACTACTTTTAATGAGCCAGCTGTTAATATTTACTGAAACTGACAAAATTAAATGTTTACATTATTATTTATGATTTTAAATGGATTCTCCACTGCATGGCAAGTTTTTTATAGTTTCAACAAAATGATGAATTTATGATACATTTGAAATGTTTTGTTCAAAAATCTATGCTTTATTGCTCTTAGAAAATTTTAAATTATGAAATAAGTGTGACTTATCAATTTCAAAGGAACATATAACTATTCCTTATCGGGTTAGCTTATACATATTGTAAGGTTGGCACTTGCCTTTTTTCCTACTTTCAATCACCATTTATTTTTAAATTCAAGAAAGAACACCTGAGATTCATTTATTGGTATAACAGTTTTTGATAATCGGGTTGAAAATTGTGTCATAGATGAGTACGTTGAGGATGGGAGCTGTGTTCAAGTTTTGGAATAGACTAACTACGGAGTCTATGATTTTGGTAAAGTAGGTGAACTAATGTCAATTCAGGTATTTAAAAAAAATGTGTACACAGTTTTTGCTTTGATGTACACATGTAGCTAGGTTGAACAACGCATCTTAACCTCACTACATACAAAACATTCGGAAACACAACAGTGTCATCACATCTCATCGCATTTGCATAATTTGTTACCAATGCTGGACTAGGTTATGGATTTGGTTCCGCAAATGTTCAAGATTTGTGATAAAATTTCCTACAATTATGGTTCATTCCAATCCACGAAATACATGCACAGCTTTATGTGATCTATATGGCCAAGGCAAAACTACCCCATAAGTTAATGAATTATCAAGTAAGAACAGGATGATTACATACATGGGTCGATGTGGCAAGAGAAGGATTTAAAATTGCTGAGATCGAAGTAAGAATGTTACTGCTTTCTGGAGAATCAGATATTTTTATAAAAAAAGATGAAGATTTACATCTTTTAAGATAAATCCGGATACAATCTGAATGATTTTCCTAAAGCAGATGGAATTAGTGGTTAGTAATAAATATTGACTCTTTCCGTAACATGATAGACTAATTATATGAACTCATTCTCCCATATAGTGAAAGTGGCTTTGGTATGAAACAAACTCATGAACAAACAATTATAAGACTCCTAAAAAACCTTTTGGGCAACCTAAAGCTGATAATAAGAAAGGTAGGAAATATTGTGTTAAACGAATTCATTAATCACGTTTTTTAGGGAACACAATCGTCATAGGCCTACTTATTATTGCTTATCCTCCCTTCATATAACTAAGATTTTAATGACTTCACTCTATCCAACACAGTTAGCTGAATTTACATAAAACCTCAAGACTAACCGTCGATTTTGACGGGGTTCCACTAGTTGTTATAATGTTAAAATTTATGTGATCTAGGATATGGACATGAATGAAAATCATTGACCATGTATTATGTAAACTTGTATTATGTTCAACTACAGAGTTGAAGACAAACACAATGACAAGGAAACACGACACGTTAACATTTAAGAAAGCAGCTAGCCTACATTAATCGGTTGCGAGCCAAGTGGAAGTTGAGTTGAGCCTGCAGGTGACCAGTGTCAAATTGGACTAACAAAATGTATTACAGTTGGCTCTCGATAATCCGACAGTTACGGGACCGGGGGGGTGTCGGATTACCAAAAACGTCGGATTACCAAAGGTTAGCTTTATTTCACTGAATTTAACTGCATACGTTAAAAAAACCAGTTTTTAATACATATCAAGGACTATTTAACTGTTATAGGTATAAACTAATCAACTTAGGCATTACATATTACAAAAAAGAAAGATTTATTGCATATAAAAATACAAAAATCAGTACAGTATAAATCAAAACTAAAATACAATGTAGGCTAGTGCTCCGTTTTTTCTAAATACATTACAACATTGTAATTACTGTACTGTAACTACAGTGTAGGCCTACACATTTACGGGTTGAAAAAATCTGTGATAGTCTTTTGTTTCTTTTTACGCAAACAGTCTGTCATTGCATTTTCTTGAATGTGTCTCAACATTAACACGTTGTTCAAGTCAAGTCCACGCTCTTCACACCAGCGAATCAAAAGTGTTTGCAGCCAACATAGCTTCGTCACAGCTGATCGTGTATTTTGCCTCCACGGCCTCCTCAATTGTGTCGTCTTGTTCATTAGATATGACTTCCTGTACTATATCTTCATCTGTTAGGTCAGCACACAGGTTGTCGTCTAATACCCATCTTCTTAGGTCTTCTGAAGATTCTTGCGAAACGTTAATATCATCGCAAAGTGTTAGTGTGTCCTCCACAACTCCGTTGTCATCTTGACCATTGTCATTTCCATCGTCGTTATTTTGGAGGAGTGGGTTTTCTGGCCAAACATTTTTCCATGACTTAGAGTTTCAGGTTTGACTTGTTGCCATGCAAATGCTGCATTTAAAATGGCATCCTTGATGTTAAATTTTTTCAAAAGTGATGTGATGTCTGCGTCAGGTTGACAGACGATATCCATAAGTAGGCGCTTCTTATAATGTGCCTTCATTGTCTTGATAACATTTTGATCCATTGGTTGAATCAGAGCAGTTGTATTTTTTGGCAAATACATGGCCTCTATGTAACCACCAGTTGTCTTCACTTTTAATCCCTCCATGTCCGGATGTCCGGGAGCATTATCTAACAGTAAAAGAGCCTTTATAGGCAGACTTTTACTCTTTAAGTGTTGTTTTACCTCTGGGACAAAATGGTTGAAAAACCAGTCATTGAAAACGTCTTGAGTTACCCAAGCTCGGCTTTGATTCATGTAAACAACTGGAAGGGAATCCATATTGATGTTCTTAAATGCCCGGGGGTTCTTACTTTTACCGACAGCTAGCAGTTTTAACATATGACTCCCAGCGCCATTCGAACACACCATTAATGTAATTCTTTCTTTTTGAAGTTTTCTTCCAGAAACCTTTTTTTCATCCCCTGTTACAAAAGTTTTTGTTGGAAGTTGCCGCCAATTTAGGCCGGTTTCGTCGGCATTGTAAACTTGTTCAGGCGTAAGGCCTAGTTCAGTGATTTTAGCTTGAAGGGTCTCAATAAAGTTAGAAATTTCTGTCACATCGGCAGATAGTTTCTCTCCACTCATCTGTAAGAAACGAATACCGTGTCGCTTTTTGAAATTTTCAAACCAGCCATCGCTGGCACGAAAATCATCTTTTTTGATGATTTCACGATAAAAAAACCGCGCTTTCTCTTTTAAAATATCCCCAGAAATCGGGGCATGTCTGTTTCTTTGCTGTTTAAACCACGCATAAAGAGCTTCCTCAACTTGGGGATATTCGCTCATTTTAAGTGTTTTTCTCTTAGAATCGTCTTCAACACATTTTATAAAATGTTCTATTTTTTCCCTATTTTTCACAATGTCATAAACAGTAGGTCGCCCGATGTCATAAACCTTAGAAATAGCCGTGGGAGTTTCACCACGGTCATAACTCTTAATAATTTCCCATTTTTCGGGAAGAGTTAATGTTTTATGCTTACGCTTATTGGTTCCACTTGTGCTCGCCATCACACAACACTTAACAAAACTCTAACACTAAAAACACTGAAGGTAAACTGTCACTTGATCACCAAAAGTACAGTACGTATGCACGAGTCACTTCGCTACCGAACACTGGAACCAGCTACCGGAAACACGTGAGACGCCTAGACCGATGTCAGTCTAGACAGCTGTCTACTGTAGTTTGCCGCAGCGTCGGACTACCGAGCGTGTCGGACTGTTAAGTGTCGGATTATCGAGAGCCAACTGTATATGACCAACTAAATTACCTCTCTCAAAAAAATTATTTTTCGGACACCGCTGATGAAGATAATGAAGGAGGGAAAAAACCTGTAAGTTTAAGTGATTATATAACAAAAGACACATTTGCACTGACAATCGTAAATCAACAATCAACTTTAACTCGGCTTTTATCTTACTAAATCAACAGTTTATTTAAATGTTACTGTGTTGTGTTCCCGTTGATTTTGTGTCTTTAACAATGTTCTGTTTGCTCTTTTTTTAATTGACAGTGTGACGGCCCCAAAAATTCCCAGAACCATTACATATTAGCTGGGGAGGTTTTTTTTAGATGCAACCTCAGGAAACCCTGTCAATACTGTCACAAAAGCTTTGCTTTATTTCAAATATAAAAGGAGGGTCTGTAATATTGAAATGTTTTAACCTTTCAACGTCTGCGTCAGCCAGTTGCCTCACCATTGAATATTCCGTCAGCCATGACTCGACGCCAGGCCAGGCCAATGATCCCAGAAGTATACTCACTGAACTCAGTAGGCCTAACTGCGCAACTACAGTTTGTCTAACGCCCCGAGTGATCGTTAGACAGCAGCACTGCCCGGCATTGAACTGATGTCAAGCGGCATAGCCGCAACGTTGATTGGCTGGTACCCCTCCACGGCCAACTTGGCTACGGACGGAGAACACTCAGTTGAAGTTAGTCTAAATTCTAAATTAATTTCGGTCGGTCGCCTAAATTTCCGCGTCGCCTTTCCCCATAGCCTCCTTGGGAGGCTGGCTATGTTTCCCCTTTTTCTAAAATGGAATTAATCATGACAATCTTTATCTTAGCATTGAAAACCTATAACTTAACTTAATTGGAATGGTTTTTCTCATAAACTAGTAGGCCTACTTGGTGTTTATAAATGTTATAATACAGCAAGTTGAAAGTTACATTATTTTATTGTAATAAATTAAGTTTGTAATTCATTGCGAAGTACGTAGTTTCATTTGGCAACCTATCATGCAACAGTTTTCAGAAGAAGACGAATAATAGCCTACAATAGTTTTTTTTGCACAGGCTGAAGATGGGAACAATTTGGTGCAAAAACTAACTTAGTTAGGCCTATTAAAAGAAATTTTAAGAAATAATTTGATCACCAAGCAGGTACCCACTGCAGATTTTTTAATCCCTACTTCTTAAGACACATACCTTATATTGTTTGATAGCATCCTCATAATTTTCTTTATTGGTTTGCAGGGAAGCAAGTTCTATACATGCAGCATAGAGCTCCTCCAAGTTTCCTTCGTTTATGGCTTTTTCTTTTTTCTTTTCCCACTCTGTAAAATAAAAATGAGTAGGCCTCGGTGTCACTATAAAGATACAAACTAGGCACCGGTACCTATATCACTATACACTGGAAAATCAAGCTTACACTACCTTTTAGCATAGATAAATCATACTCCCTTAGTAGATTTGTCATCCTTATGGAACAGCTGAAGCCAATTTTATTGTTTGTTCTGTACGTCCAACTGTAGAGGTTATGTTTTGTTTACAATTTGTTTCTTGTTATTTCAGTCATTTAAAACCTCATTTAATTATATAAAACGATTTAATCATAAAGAATAACTGGTCCCCTAGTTATATAACCAAATAGTAAAGCACAAATCATGAAAATCCCTAAAATAATAGAAACAAAATGTGGTCTACCCCAGCGATCAGTGTGGACGTTACACATGAACTAGACATGAAAAACAAGCTTCAAAATTTACAATGGGATGAGGAGTCTACTTGTGTTGCTTAGTCTATGCTTTTAGGTTGTACAATAGAACCCTTCATCTGACCTTGGAATAACCGACTCCTCGGGATATTCGACCAGGTGTCCAACCATCTACTTTCCTGGAGGGGCGATAACGCTGAGCGCAAACGGTTAACCGAAAGGCCGGTCACAGATGTTGCCGTAATCACAGTAGACAATCTCCAAGCTGGCTATTACCGATGAGTATTAGCCGGTTCTTCCAAGCGAGATTGTTTCCAGACCCAGAGATGTCATTTTTTGTCATTGGGCTATGAATTAATGATGCTATCTATCAAACAGTTTGACAATAGAAAGTAACAAGACCAGGGTTTAATTTAGACCATTCCCTTTCTAACGTTAAACAATTTCATTGGCGTAGATAACACATAACAATAAAATAAAATAAAGGAGGGTCAGAGGTTTGCCAAAACAATACGTTAAGTTTATTGTGATTTCAGTCGGAAATTCTACCAACTTACCTACAAACACCTAGTCCTACCTTAAAATATAGTTTCCAAGAGATCGTCAATGTGTAGGCCACCTTATATATTAAAAGAGATATATCTACCACCAATAGACGAACTATTTTAAAACCAAAGAGAAACTGCACACTACAGAGCTGAATAGAAATGTTTAGGCATTCTTAAAGGGACACTAAGTTACTTAACAGTTTATGCCTATTCACAAAGTAGAACTACGGGCGACAGAGCGACAGTGTCGTAGAAAGAGGAGGAGGGATGCAGAAAGCCCAGCCTGCCTGTCTGGTTGGCAAAGTTAGGGCCACATTGCCCTTTCTTACACTTAAAAACCTGTCACATTTCTACAGAAAATGCTACATAAGTTAACAAGTTAATAAAATTGAATTTTTGCAAAAAATATTTCTGTATTAAGTCTAGGCCTAACTTACCATTTTATTTTTAGAAGAAAAATTAAATTCGTACGGTACTGCAAACAGTACCGTTAACGCTACAAAACGTAACTTAATGTATTAGGGTAGGCCTAGGTACATGAACGAAAGCTGCGACAAAAAAATTCGGTGCATCGATTGTGAGGAAGAATGCATAACTGAATAACCAAAAGTGATTCAATGTAATAACAGTACCGGTAATTTACAAATTTTCGAATTAATTAATTGAAGCGTTATGAGAAAACTTATTTACAAATAAGTTATTCATTAAAACTATCACACACACAATTCATTTACACGCAACTTGGACCACGTTAGCCCGCAGAAAAGTTTTGGATTTTTCCAAGTCCCTTGCAGAAAGTTTAAGAAAAGTTCTGTTAAGGAAAGTTCTTTGGGGCAGTTTGTCCCTAAACAGTACCGGTACTGTAGTAGCTATTTATTCTGATACAAACGATAATGTAGGCTTACCGGTAACTTTAATATTAATTTCATTCAATAAATTCAGTTACTGTTAGAACAATCTGAATAGGCCTAGGTACTTTTGTAGGTAGGTTGACTAAGTTATCTCGGACCTCAGTCTAGCCTACAATAACTTAGGCCTACTGGTAGGCCTCACGATTACTAGAAAAATATGTACTCTAGTATTCGTGGGTAGGCCTAACTTATCTCCTGGCGTTTCGTCCTCGGAGGAACTTAACTTGCTTGCATTTTGGACATTTATGTGTTTTAACCAAATGTCATTGTATGAACATAAAATTTATCAAAAATAATGTAAAAATGCATTACAAAAGCCTACATTAATATGTATTTCTCTTTAACCTAACCCTAACCTATCAAACTTACTTTGGTGTGACATTGCACTGAGGCCTAAGAGCCGGATGTTCACTTTCAGTCAGATGAAGTACCAAGAAGCTAGCTGCAAATTAGAACAGAACACACTAATCTTCACACCTATAAGTAAGCCTATTATAAAACATACTTTAACTTATATCTATCATCTATCTATGATTGTTTCTACACACAACAGAATTTATCAGTTAGTTGTCAGGAGTTTGTTTTGTTATGATGTTGTTGATGATTTCATGTTCCCGTCATTCCCGACTTCCCGCCATTAAGCAATTTTTTCCAGAAAATCTGGCTTGTCTACTTACCCAAACAGCTGTGAAGTTAACTTTCCTTACAAATTGTCCATTACGGTTGATTATTATAAAAATTCAAATTACTATTCCACATTTATTTGAGAGGTTATTAAATTGTATTTGAGAATCATTACTTTTGTTTGAGAAAATATCAAATGTAAATCAGATATAGTCAGTTGAATTTTATAAAACAAAAAATGTACCTAATTAGTTTGAGAATAGTCAATTGTATTTGAGAAAGTAACTTATTGTATGGAATTGAAAAATCGTTAATTTTATTTCAGAACTAGCTGTGTGCCCGTTCTACGCACGGGGATCTTATAGTAGTTAGTTGAAACCTTCTTATATTAAGATTAAGAACAGCAGTTAGTTTGCATATTTGCAGATATGCTGGCAAAACTATTATATATAAACCTTCGCAAATACAGTATCTGACAGTTCAAGCCAAAATAAATGCTTCGCAATTAAATGTCACCCGGATCGTTATAGTCCATATATGTCCAATGATTAAACTAAAAAATGTTTTATAGATCCATGAAGCGTGTAGCCCTAAAGTAGGCCTATAATTGAAAGTTACTTTCCACATCGGTTAACTTAAACGTATTTAAAGTACTACCTCAACCTCACCATTTAACACTTTATTCCGGTTGACATTTTCAGTATTAAAGGTGATCTTGTCCATTCCGTGAAACACTGAGAAATAAGGACATTAATGCGTTACCAACAGACATACACACAACAATCCAAAAAAGGCCACGAACTATTGATACATAAACAATATAAGGGCGTAAACAATTCATGATGGTTTGCCCAACAAATGTTTTACTCAAATAGGTTATCATTTTCTTAGCATACCGGGTAAGCTAAGATTTGGAATCCAGACAGAAAAAGCAAAACTTATACAGAGTTAAGACATCACTTAAATTGAATACGGACGGCTCTAATAAATAAGGTGCAACACCAACGATAACTAATTTGTAAACTACAGTGATGTGCTGGTACCTACGTAAAAATTATTCTAGCAGCTACCAACGGTTCTAAGTGATGTATTGGACAGCGAGATGAGTTAGGATTAAAAATGACAAAGACAAGACCACATTGTACAACGACAAACGACATCTTTATTTAATCAGTAACAAGAGACAACTTCCGTTTTCTACATCACAATCCAAAGGCTTGTACAGTAAAGTTCCATTGAGGCCTAGGCCATAGATTAACCATATGTAATATATATATATAAAGATACATCATTGCCCTCCACTTTAAATAACAAAAATTAATTATTAGGTTAGGCCTACATTTTGTAATATAACAACATTAACACAACCTTTCAGTCATATTCTGAGAAGGTAAATCTTTTAGGTGGCTTAATGACTCTCCCTTTACTTGAGACATTAGGCAATGGAGTGTCTCTCATGTTAAAGCTAGGCCTAGGTGGAGACCAGGGTGATGTTTGGTTGGATTCAGATTGAGTAGCAACAGGGGAACCTCCAGGAGGGATAGGTCTTGGCGGAGTGCTTGGATTTCTAGTAACAGGTTTAGGTGCACTAAGAACTAGTCCTTTCAGGACACTACCAGTAGAAAAACACACTTTCAACTGATTTACATGGACTTTATGTACGGTCCCAGCTGATACCTTGATAATGTACACTGTAGGGCTTATTCTTTTAACTACTCTTCCTATCTGATACTTAACTTTTATACCTTTGGATACAGGTTTGTTAAGATTCACCCACACAAGTTGATTGACTTCATAACATTGAAATTTTTTAGGTAGGCCTATGTTAGTTTTTGACTGGTTTGGCTTAATTATCTTAGTATCCTTCAAATTAAAATTTACTTCCTTTTTTGTTACAGTCAAAGGTGTCCTAGGTACAAAACTCAATAACATAGCCATTGGAGATTTTCCAGTGACAGAAGTGGGGGTAGCTCTGTATGCAAACAGAGATTCAGACAATGACTGCTCTGGTGTTAAGTTTTTGCATTGGGATAATGTCAACTTAGATAGCAAAACTTTGAAAGTTTGTACTGCCCGTTCGGCCTGCCCATTTGACTGAGGTGAATATGGAGGAATGTAAAATAGTTTGATATTCTTCCTGTAGCAAAACTGTTTTAACTCTACTGAACAAAAAGGAGGACCATTATCCGTAACAATTACATTAGGGAAAGAAAATCTAGCAAACACTTCAGCAAGTTTGGACATGATGATATTGTAATCATGTTTACCTTTCAATAAAAAACATTCAATCCATTTTGAATATGCATCACAAAGAATCAAATATTTACATCCATTGAAATCAAATAAATCAAGATGAACCCGTTCCCAGGCCTTTTTTGGTTTAGGCCATGAGACACGGAACTTGTTGTTGCGTTTGTTTTGCGTGGCTTGACAAACAGTACAAGAAACTACTTTCTTATAAATATCATTATCTAGGGATGGCCACCAAACATACGATCTAGCAAACAGCTTACATCTGGTTATGCCCGCATGACTAAAATGAACTAACTCAAGAGCCTTATCTCTTAGGCTAACTGGTATTACAGTACGACTACCAAAAAATAAACAACCATTGTGTACACTTAAGTTATGCTTGTTTTGTGCGTACACTTGCAATTCCTTTTCAACAGAACGAGGAAAACCCTCAAGTACATATTTAACTACTTTGCATAATGCTTGATCTTTGAGTGTCTCAAGGCTAACTTCTTCAAAGGAAATCAATGGTGTTGACAAGTAAGTGAATAGGCTATCTACTTGATCTTCTACAGAACTAACAGCACTAGGTAGCCTCGATAACGCATCTGCATTAGGAATTAAAGTACCCCTTTTGTGTACAATGTTGTACTGATAGGCTGACAAAATGGTTGCCCAACGTATTAATTTACTTGAAGCTAGTAACGGAATTCTTTTTGTTTCACCAAATAGACTCTTAAGTGGTAAATGATCACTGTAAATGGTGAATTTTCTCCCCCATAAGTATTTATGAAACTTGCGAAGACCAAAAATTACACTCAAAGCTTCCTTTTCAAGTTGGGAATAATTCCTTTGTGCTTGATTAAGGGTAGCTGACTCAAAGGCAATTGGACATTCTTTTCCATTAATTATTTGACTAAGGACGGCCCCTACTCCAAAAGAACTGGAGTCAACTGATAAAATTAGTTCTTTGCTAGGATCATACAAAGTTAACATAGTAGCCTCACTTAAAGCTGTTTTACATTTCGCAAACGCTAAAGCGCATTCAGACGACCAATTCCACTGTTCATCTTTTCTCATTAACTTATGCAAAGGCTCTAATAATAGGTCCGGACACATATGAACAAAGTTTCTATAGTAGTTGAACATAGACACAAATGATTTCAACTGAGACAGATTTGTAGGAGTTGGCATCGACAAAATTTGTTGTACTTTAGAAGCCGAAGGCGCTTTACCTTTTGCTGACAGTTCAAACCCCAAAAATACTAATGAAGATACAAAAAACTCTGACTTTTCTACGTTAAGTTTTACATTATACTTTTCAAGCTGAGATAACACTTTGTTCAAATTTTCTTGACAATGTTTAAGATCAGTTCCGCCTACTAAAATGTCATCTAGATAAGATGCTGTATGACTCAGATTTGTTAGTATAGACTCAATCACAGATTGAAAAATGGCACATGCCGACGCTAAACCAAAGGGTAGGCGATTGTAACGATACAATCCTTTGATAGTGTTAATTACCAACAGATCTTTACTATTTTCATTTACCTCTAGTTGGAGATAGGCCTGCGATAAGTCTAACCTAGTAAAGACAGTACAGCTAGTAAACTTATTAAAAATATCTTCAGGTATTGGTAAAGGATGCTGGTCAACTCTTAAGCACTTATTCAAAGTTGTCTTAAAATCAACACAAAGCCGGAGATTACCATTTGACTTGGGAACGATTACAATAGGACTCGCCCAGTTAGAATGTGTGACTTTAGTAATGATGCCCTCTTTTTCCAGCCTACTCAATTCAACAGAGACCTCACTCTGAGACCGTTCACTCCCCTAACTTGTCCTATGTATGGATTTAGCTTACCACATAACTGAAGTTTCGATGCAGTCGACTTACTCATTAGACTCACTGCACTACCTGTATCGATTAACCAGTCAATAGAATAACCGTTAACATTAAGACTTACTGTTAAAGGTTTGGAGACAGACATAGTATTACAAGTATTCATATAGCCTACACTTTTGACGGAATAACAAAACTTGGACGTATGCCCCACTTTACCACAATTATGGCACACCCAATCTTTGGCAGGACAATTACTTGGCTGATGTTTTTTGAAACATTGTGAACACCTTTTCTTAGTCTTAGAAAAGTTATTGTTTTTCTTCCGCTCACTGCTAACCGAACCACTGCGATAACTACTCCTAGAACTGACAGAAGTCACTGACTTTGAACGTGGACGACTTGGCCTAAAATTTGTACTGTCCTTGTAACCGGTAGGCCTATTGGATTTTGTCACTAATAGGCTTAAATCATTATTAACATTGCCAGCTATAATATTAGCTGACTGTTCAACAGCTTCCATGTTCTTAATTATAGTGCATGCTTCCCTCAAAAGTTGACTTATCTTCTTCTGCCAGAAGCCTACTAACCATTGACGTATTTGACAAGCCAGACACTAGACGATCTCGTAAAGCTTGATCGAAGAACGAGCCGAACTTACAATGATTGGCTAAAGTTTTTATCTCGGTAATATAATCAGATATGGACTCACCAACATGCTGCTTTCGATTATGAAAAGCATACCTCTCCGCTATAGTCTTCTTAACCTTAGCATACTTCGACTTCAGAGAATCCACACACTGTTTATAAGTAGCTTTTGAAAATTCAACTGGAGCAAGGAGACACTTTAAGTCTGAATAAATAGTTGGACTTAGGTTGACACACAAATGACTTTTCTTCAAACCATCATCGTCTATCTTCTCAATGCTGAAGAAGAATTCTAACCTTTCGACGTACTGACTAAAGTCTTCAAGTCCCGGATCAAACGATGGTGCTTTAGACATCTTTCACCAGTTAAAAAAATAGACATTTAAGTAATTAATATTACACTATTTTGCTCGTCGCCAATGATGTATTGGACAGCGAGATGAGTTAGGATTAAAAATGACAAAGACAAGACCACATTGTACTAAGGAAAAGAACCAGTACACTACGTAAGAACCTACCTAAGAACTATAGTACATCCGACCAATTAAATACATTAATATCTAGTCCCGAGGTTATTGATCTCTTGCTTTTGGATTTTCTCGTAAAAAGTTGTAGCGTAAACTTATCGGTGTCAGTTTGAAAAAAAAAAACAACCTTATACCCAAACAACTTTTTGTTATTTAATAGATTACGCATTCTCTAAACAATGATTAGTATATCTATTAACATTAGAAGGAAATGTGACGAAAATCACACAATGTTGGGGTTTTGGTCATTTGTAATTATATTTCTTAAGTAGGTAGGCCATGTATTCTATGGAAAAGTACCGGTATCAAGGATCGTCATCAAAAAGGTTGTTATGAATAAATATGTAGGCTTACGTACCCAAGATATGAGCTATGGGCCTATTGGCTGTATGGTCCAGCGATTGCATCACACGGTGAGTAGAAACAGAAAAAGTGACACATTGGAAAAGCGAGTTTAGCACTTCCTCTGTTAAACCTCTGTTACAATCACCCACTGCAGTTGTGATTTTTTACTTTACACTTTACACAACCGCCATTGAAGCGCCGTCAATGAGTGGAAACCTTTTTTGTAAGCTATTGGCGACGATCATTTCAGTGTCCAGCCCTATACAACACTGATTCAAGGTCTTCTTTCTGGTTGTCAAAACTCAAGAAACATTTTATACTCAAAGAATTTCTGGTTCCGATTTGGATGATGTCTAGTTATTTAATTTCATTTACGGTTGCACTATTAGACTATATTATTGCACTTGCGATTAATTAAATCCGTTATGTAAGAAAAACGTTTTTAATCTCACTTGGTTGGGATTTGCTTTCAAAACGTGATTCGAAATGGTTGCGGTATTTGTAAACAACATTTGTAAACATATCATTGACAGCTAGAAAAAATAATCTTGATCCGAACAGCTGTTCGTTATTTCATAGACGATTATGTGATAAAAATTAAACGAAAATTTGACAAAAATCGCACAAAACTGCATTTTTGAACGTCCGTAATTTTATTTACAAAGTAGTGAGGCTATATTTAAATCACTAAAGACACTCTCGCCAATCCAGTGAATACATTAAAATGACTTGGATCTTGATAGGTACTCTGGTTTTCACGGAGAAGATTGCGTAAAATGCCATCTTGAGTGTTACAGACAAAGGGAAAGACAGACAGACAGGCAGACAGACAGACAGACAGAAATAGAGATAAGACTCGTTTCTGCTTCTTTAATGTATAAAACGTAAAAATAACCTAAAAGTATATAATTCTGAGCAAAGTACAGACAAAACTCTAATTTTATTTATATAGAAGAAGAAGATAGATAGGGCTTTTAATTTTATAAGTTGGTTATTCATTTTGAGTTTCTCCCCATCAAATCACAAGTTCTCAAATACATTTAACCATTTCTTAATTTGATGCCTTCTCAAATACAACTGACTATCCTCAACTTTATCTGATGTTTTCTAAAATATATTTCACGAATCTCGAATACAATTGATATGTTCTCAAACAAACATAACTGTTTCTCAAATAAAATTGGAAAAGGTGTGGTTGATTTGGATATGTGGCAGTGCGATATTTTTTTTGAAAGAAATCTTATTTAATATAAATGCGAAATTCCGATTAACGCACAGGCCAAACCAGCACCAAGAAGCACGAGATTTTGCAAACATATTCCTCTCATAGCGTAGAAAGACAATAAGAAGCGATTTTACAAAATTCCTAATGGGTCCCGCCTATTAACTACCCGATAACTCGAGCAAAAATGATCCGATTTTGATGAAATTTGGTACAAACGTGTAAAAATACGTTTATTCGAACGAGTTCGTGATCCAGCATGATCGGACCATGGGAACGGGGGTTTACGGGGGTTTTATGGGGTAAAAATAGGGTTTTCCCATTTTTGAAAAAAAACATAAATTTTAGCACTTTCTTTCAAAACCATTTTGTAGATCTTAAAAAAAGAAATAATTTAGTATATTAAAGCGTTATAATGCGCCTAATGGTTACGGAGAAAATTCCGAAAAATTGTAAATTTAAAATTCCCATGTTTTTCTTATGGAGAATAAGTAAACTGTTGTAGTTTGCTTCTTTATGAACATATTTTGATAAAATTTTGAAAATGTTATTTCTTACTAACTATTAACATAAAAAAACAGTTTTACCCTCCCTGATGCAGCAAAGCTAAGTACTTGTTAAACTAATTCTATTTAAATCGGGAATAAATGTTATATTTTTAAGTGGACATTTCAGTGTAAATCCAATCAGTCAAATGGAAATTTGCTTAGTCTGCAGGTTTGCTGCGGCGGAATATTTATTATCTCTAAGGGATACAGAGATCGAGGAAGGTTATTTTAACAAAAGGTAGGTAACAAAACGGCTATTGATGACCTGCATGTTCATAGGATATACTAACAACCACTTAGCTAAAAGATTCACCCAATCCGAACTGTAACTGGGCCAGTACCGGGTTATACTAGGCCAGTACTGGGTTATTCGGGCCAGTACTGGGTTATACTGGACAAGTACTGGGTTATACTGGGCCAGTACTGGGTTATACTGGGCCAGTACTGGGTTATACTGGGCCAGTACTGGGTTATACTGGGCAAGTACTGGGTTATACCGGGCCAGTACTGGGTTATACTGGGCAAGTACTGGGTTATACTGGGCCAGTACTGGGTTATACTGGACAAGTACTGGGTTATACTGGGCCAGTACTGGGTTATACTGGGTCAATACTGGGTTATACTGGGCCAGTACTGGGTTATACTGGGCCAGTACTGGGTTATACTGGGCAAGTACTGGGTTATACTGGGCCAGTACTGGGTTATACTGGACAAGTACTGGGTTATACTGGGCCAGTACTGGGTTATACTGGGTCAATACTGGGTTATACTGGGCCAGTACTGGGTTATACTGGGCAAGTACTGGGTTATACCGGGCCAGTACTGGGTTATACTGGGTTAGTACTGGGTTATACTGGGCCAGTACTGGGTTATACCGGGCCAGTACTGGGTTATACTGGGCCAGTACTGGGTTATACTGGGTTGGTACTGGGTTACACTGGGCCAAAACTGGGTTACACTGGGCCGGTAGTGGGTTATAATGGGCCAGTACTGGGTTACACTGGCCCGGTACTGGGTTACACTGGGCCGGTACTGGGTTACACTGGGCCGGTAGTGGGTTATACTGGGCCAGTACTGGGTTATACTGGGTTGGTACTGGGTTACACTGGCCTGGTACTGGGTTACACTGGGCCAAAACTGGGTTACACTGGGCCAGTACTGGGTTACACTGGGCCAGTGCTGGGTTTTACTGGGCCAGTAATGGGTTGTACTAGGCCGGTACTGGGTTATACTGGGCCGGTACTGGGTTATCCTGGACCAGTACTGGGTTACACTGGGCCGGTACTGGCTTATACGTGGCCGGTACTGGGGTTTACTGGGCCAGTATTGGGTTGTGCTGGGCCAGTACTTGGTTGTACTGGGCCAGTACTGGGCTGTACTGGGCCAGTAATGGGTTATACTGGGCCAGTACGAGGTTATACTGGGCCAGTACTAGGTTATACTGGGCCAGTACTAAGTTATACTGGGCCGGTACTAGGTTATCCTGGGCCAGTATTGGGTTATACATGGGACAGTACTGGGTTATACTGGGCCGGTACTGGGTTATGTACTGGGCCGGTAATTGGTTATACTGGGCCAGTACTAAGTTATACTGGGCCGGTACTAGGTTATCCTGGGCCAGTATTGGGTTATCCTGGGCCAGTACTAGGTTATACTTGACCGGTAGCCTACTGGGTTATACTGGGCCAGTACTAAGTTATACCGGGCCGGTACTAGGTTATCCTGGGCCAGTATTGGGTTATACATGGGCCAGTACTGGGTTATACTGGGCCGGTACTGGGTTATGCTGGGCAACCTTAAATTGGGTTTTAAGGTGTAAGGCGGATTAAACTTGAATACGTTCACGAACCAGCATGATTCGGCCATGGAAACGGGGTTTTACAGGGGGTTAATTCCTCTATATATCTCTTAGAGATTAAAATAAACAACGATATATCGTTGCATAGCACTGAAAGGGTGAGAACTTGTGATATACAGTATAGTTATGTTAATAGTTTTGTAGTTGTTTAAACCGTTTCATAGTATGTACACATTAGGTTAAATGTTTAAGGCAAGTTCGTTAGTTCGTTCCACACAATAAGCCAATTATTCATATCAGAGGAGACGAAGCGTGTTTATTTACTTAACCCTCATTTGTATATTTTCCCTACAGTTACTATAAAGCATATAAATAATTAGTCTTTCAAACACTATCAGCTAATTGAATTATTTTAAAATCATCACCACAATGAAATAGAACAGATTACCTACTTTAAAACATAAAACTACAGTAGTTTATAATTCTCCTCTTTGGACTCCAGATACTATAAATATTACTAGTAATAAACTTAAAAGTATGATTGATTATTTAGCATGCAGGGAAAAAATTGTGACTTACTACTTACTTACTAAAAGCAATAAAGCAACGGTTACAAAATTGATTAGTTTCCATTATTTTAATAATTTTTAAAATACCGATGAAGAAATTTACAGAGAGTTAAATTACCGAAAATTGGGCTTTGGGCAAATATTTACCACCTGTAAATATACAATTTTACTACCAACTAAAACGTTTGTTGCTTTTTGCAGCTTTGTTCCAATATTTTTCTGAAATTAACAAAGTCATTAAAATATGTATTCTTTTTTGTACCAACACACAAACACTTTTCTTTCATTTGAAGCACATTCATACAGGTACCGTAGTTGGTTAAACTTGTTTCCTTATCATACATTCT